GTGCGTGCACGTGAAATGAGTAAAATTAAAAATACCCTCGAATGAGTGTATTTTTTAATACTTTTGGATTAAATGCTTTGATATTAAGTATATTAAAATTTTAGATAGTGTAGACAAGATAATATGGTCGTTACGAACATGAACACGCAATGCCTATTTTTAAATATATTTTTTATTTTTCTGGGAAGACCTCGATTAAGTCCAAATTCCATAAAGTATTTCTTATTTAATAGAGATTACAGGGAATATGGCACCAAATGGGAGTTGGGGAGCATTTGGGGAACATCTGTAACGGTTCCCGTTACAATTAGCACTAGTTATTATTGGGTTTTTTTCTTACCGATTTTGTGTACACGATTTCTCAGAAACGGCTCGCTCGATTTTCATGAAACTTTCAGGACTGATAAAGCATCAAACAAAGCTGATATATAATTTTTTGTTTTGATGACGTCACTTCCGGTTTTGAGATTTTTGCGATTTAGTGATTTTCAGGGGGTCAGTTTGTCCTCGAATTTTCTCAAAAACGGCTTAAGATAGAAACTTGAATTTTTTGAGCAATGATAGAGCAATGTCTGTAGATGTGACATACGCATTTCATTTTTACCGGAAGTGCTGCACGCCGACGCTCGCTATGGTCCAAAAATGGGCATGTCGAGAATTTTAAAATTTCTAACACCTTTTCTTCGATATCTTTTCACATACAAATATTTTGTTAAGACATATAGAACAAAAGAAGTGTAGAATTACATGATCTTTCAAATGATATCTCGTAAAAAGGGCTGGCCCCTAAAATAAAGGGCCTAGAGGGGCCGAAAGTTTTTCATTTATATCTCAAAAAGTATTGAGAATTTGTTATATGTCTAAAAAGCAAAGTTGTTCAAAATGTCAAGCTTAATCTGTTGAAGTCGTCAAAATGCGTCGGGCGACGTCACTTCCGGTCATACCGGAAGTCATCAGAATATGCATATTTTTGCCGTTCTTGACATATTTTTGGGTAACATATGTGTCTAGAAGCATAAAACTTCATTTTCTGTCCGTTGACATCACTTCCGGTCAAACCGGAAGTAGCCAAAATAGCTTATTTTTGAAGGTTTAAATACAAAATCAAAATTATAAAGTCAATGGAGACCACTTAGCTCATTTGCTTTCATTTGTTGACGTCACTTCCGGTCAAAACAGGACGGAAGACCTACTCGTTGCTTTGCAACGAGCTTTGCTCTAGTTCTTATTATTTTTTTTCTTCCTGGGAAAATTTTGTCCACGAGTGATCTTGTAAACTACACATCCGACTTAGGTGAAACCTTTTTAGGGTCAGTAGGCATGTTATGTAGAGTTGCCAAACAAAGGTCATTTTGCGCGCACGTGCTTGCAAGAGCGCGCACGTGCAACAGGTGAAATTACCAATTTAATGGATATTGCCGTAACTTTTCTATTTTTTGATGAGATGCTTTGAAACTCATAATGTAAGGATACATTAGTAGTATAGACAAGATAGCATGGTCAAAATAGCAAGATCTCACGCGCATGCACGTGCGCTTCGCTCTGATTGGCTGAAACTAAAGTCTCAATAACTTTCTTGTTTCTTGTCATAATCCTTTGAAATTTTGAACATAGTCCTACATTATGAAGATCTACCGCATGATATATAAGAATTTTCATGAAAGCATGCGCATGTGCGCGTGCTGCAAGCTGATTGGCTGAAACTTTAAATGGCTATATCTCCTTTGTTTTTTGACGAAATTCTTTGAAATTTAAAATATAGTCATGCTTTAGGATATCCTACAAAATGATATAGAAAAAAATCATGAAATCACGCGCATGCACGTGTGCTGCAATCTGATTGGCTAAACTTTAAATGGCTATTTCTTCTTTGTTTTTTGACGAAATGCTTTGAAATTTAAAATATAGTCATGCATTAGAATATCCTACAAAATGATAAAGAAAAAAAAATCATGAAATCACGCGCATGCACGTGTGCTGCAATCTGATTGGCTGAAACTTAAAATGGCTATAACTCCCTTGTTTTTCAACCAAACAGGATGGGATTTAGAACATAGATAGATGTAAGGGACTCCTACAAGAAGGTATGATCATCATGCACGTGCACGCACGTGCGTGCATTTGAAACGAGTATATTTAAAAATACTCTTGAATGAGTGATTTTTATTACTTTTGGACTGAATGCTTTAATATATAGTATATTAAAATATATAAATAGTGTAGACAAGATGATATGGTCATAACGCACATGCATTCACATGCGCTTGGGTGCAATGCTAAAAATTGAATATAATTGGTATCCTTCTGGGAAAACGTTGTTAAAGTCAAAAATGCACATAGTTTGTCTTATTTAATGAAGCTTACAGGAAATATGGCACCGAAAGGGAGTTTGGGGACGTTTGGGGAACATCTGTAACGGTTCCCGTTACAATTAGCACTAGTTAAGTTTGAGACAGAATAAGATTTAAAAACTGTCATTAGAAATGTATATGCAAGCAAAAATAATGAATACAAAATGCAAACAGTTTACATATGTACACATTTTGAGTCAAGAAATAAATTTTACACGTTTACTACTACGGTACATGTAAGATAATCCTCTCTAAATTTATTAAATTTTTGTCAATTCAAATGATTCATTATAACATTGCTTTTGTTTATTAACATGACACAAAGGTTCATAATATAATTAGAAAATACTAGACTCTAGGTCTTGCAGTTATAGAAAAAAATCTTTACTATCTGCAGATTAAATGTAACGTACCGTTTTAAAAGTACGCAGAGAGAGAGAGAGAGAGAGAGAGAGAGAGAGAAAGAGAGAGATTCGAAAAAAAAATTCTTCAAAGATATTCTTACAAAAATTCTCTGCTTGTGTAGTCTCTGTCTTTAAAATAAAGTTACAGCTACTCTTTATTTTGTTTTCAATAAAAATGTAAGTTATGCAGGAAATCAAAAACATGTATATTTTTATCTTATATGTGTGCTTTATATGCGCTCAGATTATCTTACACTATGTAAAATTTACTCTTTTAAACAAAATCATGTCTTCTGCATCAATGTTGTCTGAGAAAAAAAAATTAGGAATAATTCATTCTTGAACTTAACTGTGTAATTATTACCGTCTTACACCGATATTATAAAAGCAATAATATATTTCCCCATTTCAAAATCTCTTATTGTTTATGACCCCCCCCCCCCTCCCTGGGTTCCGTCTTAGATTCGCCAGGAGGTTCACTTGTCCCAGATACCTAGAAAAATAATTACTTTCTTCCTTAACTGAGTACACTGTACATTCAGTGTTAATCTGCAAATTCGGGAGGTTCTGAACCCTCTCTCCGACCCCCTCTAGATCCACGCATGTGGACGAGAAGTAAATAAGAAATGGACTCTTCAAACATGATAAAAAACTATTTGGTTTTAAGATGGGTTATTTTTTTGAATTTTTTTCTTAAATGTAGAAAATTACCAGAAAGAGGATCACTATGCTTTTGAAACCGATTATTTTGTTGTTTTACTTTTTGTTTTTCAGAAAATATGTTTTTGGGAAAATATTTTAATTCAGTGTCCATGTTTTGCTGTGGAAAACCCAAAATATGTGTCGGATCAAAAAGTACAATAAGGCACAATGGCAATATGTAATAAAGATTCTGTGAAAATTTCATCAAATTTCAATCAGTGGTATGAGAGGAGTTGCGGATAGAGATGGGTACCCCAAAAGCGTAACAGACAGACGGACATCCCGATTACTATATAGTTTATAATGTACCCTCCCGCTTTTCAAGCGGGGTGTAGAAATATAGTTAAATATGTATATTGATTAACAATACATATAATACCACAATCAAATGTGTATGAATGCATTGTCAAAACGTAAGAAATGATGATCGAAGAAATCTCTAATAAGACAAGTTTTTCTTCTCAGCAGAAATTATTAGAATATTAAGTACGTTATTGCTCAAATCAACTTGCTCAAATCAACTACGTCCCCAAGTAGTTGTGACAACCCCCCCCCCCCCCGCGCCCACTCTTAATATGTATAATTAAATAATGCATTGTTTGTATTTCAAATTCTTCTTAGAACCGTACATTTTCTGTAGAACTCTCTAAATTGTTTAAAATTAATAAAAAGGCTTTATTTTAACTTACGCCTACCCATGAGTAGACGTAAAATTTTGGCCTAAATTTAGTCAGCTACGACTAGGCGTACGACTTTTGATGAAACGGGTCCCAGTGCTGTTGGGGGGGGGGGGGTTAAATATTTGTATTGAAAAAAAAAGTGTTTTATTTTTATTTTTCCTTTAAGTTGAATATATTAAAATAAAGCAAAGACATATATATTTAAAATTTATTTCAGTTTCTGCTTGTAAAAGGGGTAGGGGAGTTGTAAATATTTGTTTGGGGGAAAAAAAGTTGTGTCGATCCATGGTGTTATGAGTGTTTTCATTTTTTTTCCTAAGATGAATATATTTAAAATATGGCAGAGACATAAATAAAAATCATATCTGTCTCTTGATGAATAACCCTCATTATTTTCACTTTGGGTAAATATTCGCAGTGGCGTAGCATCGTTTTTGAAAGTGGGGGGGGGGGCCAGCCAGAGAAAAAATTTTTTTTACTTACCTGAAAAAGTTGACGAGCAAAAAAAAAAAAAGTTAAATTGCCCAAAGTCGAAAATCCGAATTCGTAGGGGGGGGGGGGGGTGTATACACCTGTAGGTAAACTTTTTCTCACTGTCAACTAGGCTACTTTAAGTACCAATTCTAATACTACATTTTCGGTACATCACTAAAAGTGCGGGGGCCAACCAGGCTTTCAATTAACATTTCCTAACGTATAAGTAAGGTTGGGGAAAAAAGTGGGGGGGGGGGGGGGGGCAGGCCCCCCCCCCCCCCCCCCCCCCCCCCCGGTTGCTACGCCCCTGTATTCGATGATAAAAAAAATGTAGTACTGATAAGACAGATTACCATGATTACGTCCCTTTAAAGATTTATTTACAGATGGCGTTTTTTAAACATGGCGCCTGTGGTGAAGTGCGAGTTCCTGTCAATGCAGCGTAGTTTAGGATCTTGATATTAGAGGTATAAAGAATTAATTTGAACAACCCATTCATGTTTTAAGAACGTTAAAGGGAACTATGGTCGTTGTATCATCTATTACGTCTTTATTTTTCAATATCCTAAAGATGTTGAATGTGTAACACTTGTGACAAATATGGCAACAATGCTGTTTATCATCACTAAGCTTACAGCATCTATAAATAATTGAAGATTGGGTAATCTCTAACAATTTTATTAAGGCAAGCAATGCGGGTAGAAAAAGTATATCCGTGAGTAATTTCTATTTAACACACGAGTCAATGTTCTGACTATATATATAATATATAATTATCAAGTTGGGCCCAGCCCACCAAACAGTGCTTTATCCCCCTTTTGGGAGAAGATCACCTGTGGGGATGTTGTATATGGGTGTTAAATTTACTGACTATATGGTATTCATTTCTAATTTCTTCTGCTTTTTATAAAAACACAGTCAATGTGAAAGACATTGGACCATCATACCTGACTGATGTGCAGTGCAGTTGGTCGGGTGCGTCATTTTTAGCTCTCCTGGTCAGAGACCAGAAGAGCTTGTGCGATTGTAATGCGTCCATCATCCGTCCCTCCGTCTGTCTAGCTGTCCGTCTGTCTGTCTGTAAACAAATTTTCAAAATGCTACTCCTCCTACAGTTTTGGTCTGATTTCAATATAACTTGGCACACAAGTAGACTACACTAAGATACATAATTCTGTTTATCGGTTTTTGATTTTGATGAATGGTGTTGCCGTGGTTACTAAAAATAGAAATTTTTGTAAAATACTTTTAAATGCTAATCCTCCTACAGTTTTGGTCTGATTTCAATATAACTTCACACACAAGGAGACTACTATAGGATTAAACGTTTTTTTTTCAGAATTTATCGATGTGTAAACTCTGCCTTTTTACTCACAAACTGAATAAAAGTGTGAAGCACTTTTATGTAAAGTTTGTGAGTAAAAAGGCAGAGTTTACACATCGATAAATTCTGAAAAAAGAATGTTTAATTCTTATAATTCCAATTACGAATTTTTTAAATTATTCAAATTATTTCTCTTTGAGGCCGCCATACAATCAGTTATTTTGTACCGCGTAGGAATACTTTATGCCGCAAAGAAACGTATACAAAATGAATATAGATAAAATCCAACTTTATTTGTCAAAACAATCAATAATTAAACTTATAAAAACTCAATGAATGTTGCTTAAGGCAACAAATATCGTAAATACGCGTATTCTCCAAAATAATTCGTCCTTGACCATGGCCATGTTGACGTCATGACGAAAGTTGAAGACCGACGACGTCCTCGATTTGCTCTGGTTCGTTTAAAGATTTAGTGAGAATATGGGATCTGTATGATGTAAATATATGAATTTGATGCTGAAAAGGCAAGAGTCTGAGGTACGTTTCTTTTCCCTATCACATTACGATACCAACTGAGTTGATATGGAACGTCGAGAAAATGACAGCATGATCAGCGATTTCAAAAATTCACACTCGTGATGCGACATTGACATAAACATAATATTCCCGTCTGTCAGTCCTGTTTATCTCCTTTTCATTCATTCATTTTTTATTATAAGTTTCTTGTAATCGTAATTTAGCTAAAACGGACTAGAAGTATCTGTTTTCATTATTTTTACAACAGTCAAGAAAGTAGTTCTGGTTGAAAAATTCATCGATGTGTAAACTTTTTCTTGAATTTGTTCTCGTCCAATCAAAACACAAGGAATCGATAAATAAAATTAAGATTGGAATTATACTAAGATACGTAATTCTGTGTATCGGTTTTTAATTTCGATGAACGGTGTTGCCGTGGTTACTAAAAATAGACGTTTTTGTCAAATACTTTTAAAATGCTACTCCTCCTACAGTTTTGGTCTGTTTTCAATATAACTTCACACACAAGTAGACTACACTAAGATACATAATTCTGTGTATCAATATCGGTTTTTGATTTTTATGAACGATGTTGCCATGGTTACTAAAAATAGAATTTTTTGTAAAATACTTTTAAAATGCTATTCCAAATACAGTTTTAGTCTGATTATAATATAATTTGGCATGCAAGAAGACTACACTGAGATACATAGTTATCAGTTTTGTGTTTTGGATTTGTTGATTGATGTTGCCATAGTAACTAAAATTGAAAATTCTGTAAAATTTTATTTAAAAAGGTTACTCCCACAGTTGTAGTCTTATTGCAATCTTGCCACAAAAAGAGACTAAATCAAGGATCATTATTCTATTTACTGCTTTTATAAAAGTTTATGTCCCAACTGCTGCTCTTCCTTTAGATAAGTACAAACCAGTAGAGCTACAGTCTCGACAGAGACTTCTGGTTAACAGTGGACCGGAATGACTGATGTCTTTAGTCGTAATAATCAAGTGTCTGGTTTTGAAGCAAAGTAATTTAATGATTGTTAATATGTTGACGGTGCAACCGTTAGGGCGAGCGCAGATACTTATCTAGTTTTCATTTAGATTGGGTTCGTCAAACCGCGTTTGTCAAACCACAGGTGACATTCGGTGCATCTAAGACTCTGACATCGTATGACGTCGTATGTTGCTTTACCAAACCGAAGCCTGAACAGGGCTGATTTTAATGAAGAACCATTTAATTATTGACTATTTTTCAGCAACAATTCATTATATCAAGGCAAGTTTATTATTTCATTTAACTTTAGTTCTTATTCTCGTGAGAACGTTGCTTTAGCGTTGTGTACGAAGCAATGCATTGTGGGTCCAAATTACTGCGGGAAAAAAATCTATCGAATGTGCAGTAGTCCGAATTCTCTCTTCGCCCAGGCATTGTCATTAGAGCTCGTAGTTAGGAGCCTTGCTTTGCGATGCTCACTGCTCTCGTTATAAGTAAAAATGTTCATAATGTGTACCAAAGGAAAAAAATTGTGAGTGGGTTATTTTTTGTGGAATGATTATTTTGGCCCGGGTTTTCACAATTTTTGTCCCTATGGTACACATGATGATCAAGTGTAATAAATACAATTTGTGAAAAAAAAATGTCCAACAAGCCCTGGGGTTGAATATCAGTGAGGAGAAAGGGGGGGGGGGTCCTATCCACAACTACTTGTGGTTATAATTACCTATATTTTATCTAATAAGGATTAATGTCTCTAAAATGGGAGATAAACCCCTGTTTGGAAGTATTTTGCCCACCTTGTTATACTGGGATTTAACAAAAAATTAAATAAATGTAAGACATAATGAAATTAATATTTCAAAATTAGATCAGACATTGAAAAAATTTAGCACATCTGACCTATTGAAAATTATTGTCATTATCAGCTATCATGCATGGTTTGAGAAGTGCAGCCTTCTCACACAGAAAAATGAATATAAACATGGTACTGAGAAATTGAAGAAGCTAGTGATTATTATACATTAGTATGCACACAGCATTGGATAGAATAAGAGTTTGATTTATTCATTCTGTTTTGTTTGAGAGCAGTAATAGAATGACCATTACATATACATAAGGAAATTCCTGCCAAATGACAAATTTTATTTTATGGTCGAAAGTCCGATGAATTGTCTTGTCAGAAAAATCACACCTGAAATCTACACTTGATCCCAGTTTTTGATAAATCTTTCTGAATTTGATGATGTAAAAGGATAATGTAAAATAAACAACATAAAATTAAATTCATCATTCGTCCTTCATATGATGGATTCATGTAATGATGCGTGTATGAAGCATAGTAGATGTACAGTACAGTTAGATTTTGCTTTCTTTCAAGAGAAAACAATAGCTGAAATATGGCTTTGAGTACCTTAATACTTCTACATACTAATTAACAGTCAACATTTTATTTAGGATTTTTGCCTTATAAGTTTTTCTTGAGAAAGTAATTAAAAAGTCTGTTGGAGTAAAAAAATATTATCAAAATATTGAATATTTGTGTTGGAATATAGTGTACCATTGTATAATGTGAAAAAAAATATTGACAAAATTCCATTTGAAGGCAATATGAAATTACCGTGCAGAAATTTATCTTGAGCAGGCAGTAATTTTGAATCTAAAGCCAACAGTCAGTAAACCACTAGTATTTTTAACATTTCAGATGGGCGTAGAAAACTTGTCAGGTCAATATGTTAGAGCTGTTTATCCATTTGAAACCAACCATCCAAGGGAGATAAGTCTGTCTAAGGGTGACATCATTAGAGTGACCAGCGTGATAGATGATAACTGGTACTGCGGACAGTTAAGGGGGAGGGAGGGGAACTTCCCCTCCAGCTTTGTGGAGGTCCTTAGTTTACCAGCAGTAGAAGAGGGGCAGGTATTGTTTGGTGCTGTAGAAAACTTCCCTGCTCAGCAAGATGGTGATCTGGAATTTAGAAAAGGTGAAAAATAAATGTGTAACTTAAGTGTTTATATATTTTTGTAATTTTAATCTATATGTATGTCAGGTTGTTCCTAAGATTTTGGGAGTCAGGGCATTTCCCCACTTTTAATAACATTATCCCCCGATTACTCTGTTTTTCTTCCTCATTACCCTCTTAATTGAGGAACCTAAGAACCCCTTCTACTTTTTAAATGTCCCATGCTATTTTGATTGTTAGGGACAGTTCTGATATTATTAAATATAATTTCATTGCTGTATACAGGAAAATTTTCGCCCCCGTTTTATTTTCGCCCCATACGCCCTACTCAAAGGAAGGCGAAAATAAAACGGGGTGATTGTAAGAAACTCGGTATGATTTCTTAAAAAGAATTGAAATTGGGCGAATTTGAAACAGGGGAAAATACTTTCTACTTTCTAGGTGTGAATGGGCAAAAATAAAACGGGGCGAAAATAACCCTGTATACAGTATAGTAACTTGTTTTGAACGAAAAGGGATTCTGAAAACCATAAGTGTTTTTATTAATTTGGTTACTCAAAATGGCAAGATGAGTTCATTTTGCATTCCTTTGTCAGAGAATACCTCAATATCATGTATATCTATTCATTGTAATCCCTTTGTAGGTGCTATTATCTTGGGAACTCACCAGATTGATGCCAACTGGTGGAAAGGTCAGCTGGGGTCCAGCAAGGGGATTTTTCCAGTCACCCATGTCATGGAGCTGGAACTACTGCCCTCCCTAAAAGAACGGAGCCACAGTCTCCACTCGACGGAGCCCCTGTTTGCCCTGGCCCTGTGTGATTCGGTGGCTCAGCTCGATGAGGAGCTGGGGTTTAAGACTGGTGATATAATTACTGTGACTGAGATCCTAGACTCAGATTGGTATTATGGGGAGCTGGGAAGTAAGAAGGGGATGTTCCTTTCCTCCTGTGTGGAGCTGATACAGGACACAGCACCAGGGGGAGGGGGGCCAGTCTCTCATCAGGTCACTAAAAAATCCAGCTCCTCCATTCAGAAATCCTTCTCTTTGGATCAGTCTTATTATAGCAGTGTTAGTGATGGACAGCCTGTTGGAGGAGATGTCAGCCAATCAGAATCACACGATGTGCCAAATAGCCAATCACAGTTAACTATACCAGATCAAAGTGCTGCCTACACCAGCGAGAACTTGAAGAGTCTGGACTCCTCTGTTAGTCCATATGCCATGACCTTGTACAGGTTTGAAGGTCAGTCGGACAATGAACTTTCTTTTGATGCCAATGAGATTGTGTACCTTGTCCAACATGTGGACGACCAGTGGATGGAGGGAGAGATTGACGGGAGGATAGGTCTGTTCCCCACATGTTTTGTGTCCATTATTGTCGATTGTCCTTACGCTTTCTCTGAAAATGAGGCAATAAATAGAACAGAGATAAATGCTTCTGAGGAAGAAGGGACAAGGAGTTATCATGAAGAACCATCAGAAATTGACCAAGAGGTGAAAAATAAAGATCTAGATATAAATGAGAATCAGAATTTTTCAACAGTGGAGGAAACATTGAACAAATCTCATGGCTGTGTTAATGGAGTTGAACAAAATTTGAGCAGGGACCAGTATGCACTTGTTTTGTTTTCGTTCACTGCAGAAACTGACCAGGACCTTACTGTGACGGAAGGGGACACCGTTAAGATTTTAGAGTATCTGAACACCGAATGGGTGAGGGCATTAAATGAGAATTCTGGGAAATCGGGATTAGTTCCCACGGTTTTCCTTGACATTATTGATGATAGTCCATTACAGTCTCCTGCTCCAGATTACAGAAATCATGAAGTTAAAGGTGGAAGTAGTGAAATTGTTAGTGATAAAGAGGAACTGAGTGTTGAAACCCAATTTCATGTTACACCATCTAGTGATAAAGTGAAAAAAACGATAGATGACAAAATATCATCTGTTCCAGTCATAAAACCAAGTTTATCGATAAGTGATCATACCACAGAACATAGAGAACACAATGTAGCTCCTGAAACATCTCAACAAAACATACATAAAAGTAATATTAAAGAGAAAAGTGGGAGCCAAAGCATAAATTTTACATTGGAGCAAAAGCCAGTATTACCAGTTAAACCTCAGCTGAACCCTAAACCTGTAACAAAACCCAAACCAAGCCTATCGCCCAAACCCAATCTACCAAACAAAACGAGATTACATCCCGTAAAAGAAACCGAAGACAGCGAGGCGTCACTTCTCAAGTCTTCATCTGCCCAAGTTCTTCACAGCCCTGATGAATCTAGCAGCACATTGCAAAAATCTCTGTCCACAAATGAATTGTCTAGTTCAGTATCAGATACCAAAACTGAAAACAGGAGAGCTACATTTTCTTTTGGTGATGTAGATACATCAAAATCATTAAATGACTTAATATCAAGTGAATTAACCAAAGCAAAAAATGATGTGAAACCTGATGATGCCAAAGAGAAAATGGGCAATAAGCCAGCTCACCCAGGCAAGCCAATACTAAAAAGAGATCAAGCCAGTAACAAATCCTCTAGTTCTTCAAATTTAATTAAAACAGATCCAAAGAGACACTCTGTAAATTTTCCAATTCAAGACACGGCACATCAAAAAATAATTTCCAATGATGACTTCCATGGTACATTTTCAACAGGAAATTCAGTCTTCTTTGTGGACCCAGTTCCATCCAAAAAAAGTTACCCCTCCATGAGAAAACCTCCTCCCATTCCACAAAGGTCATTTGAGCAGTTTGATCGTTCACCCTCCCTCAAAAAAGACCCCCCACCCCGCCCTACCGGCCCCCGACTGGCCTCTGCACCTCCGACTGTTCCTTTAATTCCCGTAAAAGTGACCGATACTAATCATGTGAAACAGAATGGTCAGACACCCAGGACAAGGCCATCCAGACCCGCCCCTTCCTGTCCCGTTCCCTCTCGACCCGCACCAACCCGACCCATGCCAACCCGCCCTGCGCCAACAAGACCACAGCCATCATCCACAGGACCAGCTCAGCCGGGACCTGGGGAGGGACTTATTGATCTGGAGGATACATTTAAAGGTAAGGACTTTTATCAGGTAAATAAAGGTAGATACTGTAATCACAGTTAGGTATCTACACCCTTTTCATTGAATATTGGGAAATATACAAGGTCAGTTTTTTTTTGTGTTACAATGAATGAAAGTTCCTCATTTTAGTGGAGTTGTTTTGCTACCAGGATATCTACCATATAAGTAAAAATTTTAGCGAGGATTTAATTTTGGCATTATCAGCGAGGGTGCTTACATCGCTAAAATTGAATATTGCTAAAAATTAATTGCGTTTTATTTGTAAAAGTTTTTACAGTTAGCATTTTAAAATCGTTAAAATTACTTCTCGGTAAAAATAAAATACCAGATTTTAGGTAGAAACCACTAAATTTGTGTCTCGCTAGAATTTCCACTTATATGGTAAAACACCTTGATTGATAAAATCATGAAGATTGTTATTTTTTTGCAAAAGAACATATTTGCTACAAGATGAAACAAATGCATACCTTAAAAGACCTCCAGTTATACTGACTGAAAATCCAAGTTCAAATAAAAGATTTTGCACAAACATGTAAAGTTGTAAATATTTTATAAATAAATATGCCTTGATTTATATCTTTGCCAACAAACTTATTTTACATGTATCCTGGGTAGAACAATTTCAAAATGTCAGATACGGGCATGAGTTAAATTCTTGGTTTAGCTGTCATAAAGTATATGGACACTAGCTTGTTTGAAGTGGTCCCCCTATCAAATTCAAACGGGTAATGAGCTACATGTATCTACTTTGAATTGAAGATATGCAGTATTGTTGTATAGTGATAAACATTGAAAGAACCTCGATAATTTTGAAGTAGAGTATCATTTTTAGAGTGTCATTGGGATATGAAATAAAGTAGATTTGATGACATATTTTAAAATTTCAAATTCCGATGAAATTTTAAACAATATTTGATTTGGTATGGTCTGTTATTTTGGTGCCCCTTTACACAAAGAAAAATTTGCAGTATTGAGTTCCATTATGGAAAAGCAACAAAGTTAAAAATTAAAAATGATTCACAATATCAAAGTCTAGATCCCCCAAATGTCTCACATGTTTGCTGTTTGTGATCACTGACAAACCCCAAAAGTTATCTACCTGGAAGATGTGCAGCATATTGCTTAGAGATATAAATTGTCAGTACCCTGTTATAAATAATGATAAGCTGACTGAATTGGTCAGTAAGAAATCACCACAGACTTGGTTGAGATTTAGGAACAACAGTGTAACTTTATGTGGATGTTTTCAATCAGAAATCAGGCCAGTGTGGTAAAGATCATGATGTAACATTTTATTGTATATATGTACAGTGCAGGTTTTAAAATACCTTGTGAAGTGAGAGCATGGTGATAAGAATATTTAGAAGTATGTTAAATTACCTTTTTTTAATATGATACCTTCATTATACATGTGAGTTAAATCTTTCCAACCATTTTTAAAAAAAGTTACTATGGATTGAAAATTTAGTGAAGGTCGGTGGAAAAATATTTAACCTTCATTATACATGTGCATTAAATCTTTTGAATCAAAAGTTACTACCGGTATATGGTAAGAACATTTAGTGAAGGTCGATGTTAACATTTGGGAGAACTTGTGGAATTTTGTCAGTTCAGATGTAATTTTATTATTGGTATAGACAACAAGGAAGATTAGTCTACAGGTTTGGCTGTCTCTTGTCTGTTTTATTGCAGTATGTTATCTCTGTAATTTCACAAGTTTCCTCTTTGGTTCTGTATGTTTTTTGGTTATTCATGAAATTTTAATTTTTTTGTTTTTGTTTTTTAAAGGGTTTTCCTCAATAATCAATCAGGATTGTTTTTAAAATATTTTATGCGTGTATTTATATTTTTTTCCCAATTTAATTTTCTGGCACAAATATACATACCAAGCAATTAGCATACGTTTGGGAATTAGTTAAATATTGAATATTGATCAGTTGATGATAACCAGAGCAAATGAAATTTAAGTGAAATGAAAGTGTGAAGTGATCATTACCAAAATTAAGTCCTGTACTGTTAGAAACTCTTTAGAATGCATTTGTATATTTTGTTGTTGAATCAGCATGAATCCTTGGGTAAAAGGAATTCATTTTTATTAAATTGAAAGGCCTCGTCCTCTTGCAAGGGAGGTAATTAAAAAAAATAGTAAATTTTGAAAAGTTTTTACTCAACAACCACTGAATCAGAAAAGATGAAACATGAGAGAAAGCTCTCTGAGGTATTGTAGATTCAGATTCAAAACATATTGTCTGGGAGAATGTGGGGCCAGGCCTCTTGTTAAAGAATCTGCCTGCTGTGAAAATCAAAATTCTTGTTACTCTAAAATTAAGATTGAAATGAAAATTCAAGCCTCATTTTTATAAGTTGAGTGTTTATTTTTTATTTTAGCTGAGGCTCATTCTGTGGCTGTGGCTGACCTCAGAAAAAAGATCAAAGACCTAGAAATGGACGTTGACGTGAGTAGCAGTGCTTTATATGTAAATTGATAGAAGATATTTTGTTGTGAAATAGGTATTTGACAATTATTGAACTCTCTTTTAGAACTGTGAGAAATCCAGGACTGAGCTAGAAAGAACACTACAAGGAAGTGAAGATAATGAAGAAATAAAAGAAAACATTGAGTTTTACACAGACAACATTAGTGGTCTTAATGCTGAGTTGAGCGAACTCAGGAGTGAGTATAAACCCTTCTCAATTAATAGCGCGAGGAACTAAAAATGAATTTTCAAGCTTTGAAATGCTTAACTCTTAGTGTCAATTGTTGGAAAACTCACCACACTTAAAAAGTACAATGTAGAAAACATTTTTTAAAATCTTGTAGTAACGATAAGAGATTTACTCATGATTTTGACAGAGAACCTGGTGGTGCTGTGCCCTGAGGAGGGGGATTTGGAGGCTCAGAGAGAGGCAGAGAGGAGGAGGCAGGAGGAGGAGGAGAGACAGCGAGAGGAGGAGAAGAAGAGGACCGAGGAGATGAAGGAGAAGAGGAGAGAGAAGAGGGGGAAGGTGATAGAGGAACTGATCCAGACAGAGAAGGACTTCCAGCACAGTCTGGGTCTCTGTATAGAGACCTTCCTGTCTCCCGGGGCAGAAAAGGTAGGTAGAAGGATTTCCAGCACAGTCTGGGTCTGTGTGTAGAGACATTCCTGTCTTCTGGGGCAGAAAAGGTAAGAAGAAGAGGGTAACTGAAAGCTCCTCAAGGAAATTATTTAGAGTGGGATAATGAGTTGTTCAGGAAGACGTAAAAAAATTTCATTAAGGGGTGAGGGAGGGCTTGTTCAGGATCATTAATGTAAGCATCTCTCATGGCTGAAAGGTAAAGTTTACATGGTGAATAGTATCTATAAGAAGTTAATATTTTTAATATGCAACTAGATATGACATGTAGATATATTTACACTGTCTCATTTGAAATTTGCCAGCATCCTGAGGTGGATCTGACCGTGTTGATGGGGAACATTGAGGACGTAGCAGACATATCACAGAGATTACTGAGTGCCCTGGAGGGGGCCGTACAGGGGAAGGACTTCGAGGAACAAGTCATAGGTAAATAGATTTACAGTGTAGCAAAGCATTATAAGGCATATAGCCAGCTGCTGTACATATATATTGACCTGAAAATGCATACTTATGATTTATCTGTAAGGACTCTTTGATTCAAAATCCATTGATTGTATTTATTCATTTTTCACATATTTGACATTCTTGTAGGTGTATGTTTTGTGGTGCTATCAGAAGACATGAAAACTGCCTTTGCTCCATACTGCCGTAACCATGATGAAGTCATCACACTGCTTGAAAAGGTAAATAAACAGGTCAAATGTAGCTCATTTAACCTAGATTGAAACAGTAAGCCATGCTTAAAGCAAAATGTTGGGATTTCCAAATACTTTATAAGTTATGTGTGTTCACTGTAAGCATGTTTTACTGACAGTATTTGATGTTTTATATGCCAATCAGTTTTGGATGATGCTTAGTGTCAGTTACTTTAAATGTGATTTCCTACATGTAAAATTGCTAACCGTTTGCACTAATTCATGCCATGTATAATTCCAGTATGAGGAGAGTGAGTCCATCATGGTGTACATCAATAAGATGCTGGACAAACTCCGACAGAAGACTGTGGTGTTTGATCTCGGGGCTCTCCTCATTAAGCCAGTCCAGAGGATCCTCAAATACCCACTGCTGCTCAACGAACTCTTCAAGGTCACCTACAAACTTAATAAGATTCATTCTCCTACCATACTCAATACTGATTTTAGAGAAATTTTTATTGAACCCCTTTCTTGATGATTTAGTTAGTAAAATGCATGATCTTTAAAAAATATTTATTGACTTATGTGTGATAATTAAACAAAATACCAACAGTTGTAAGTCATGTTTGTGTTGGTAAAATTATGATGTACAATATGTGCTAAATTTTGAACATGCTGGTAGCTACATTTAATAAGTACAAAGTTTATTCAAAACAGTATATGCTAGTACATGTATATGTTGAGGTCTGTCTGGTTTCCTTAGTACCTTACTTGTTTTTGATCAGAGTTTGATATTCTATTGATGTTTTCATTTTATTATTGACTTACAGGCAACAGAGGATGATCACCCAGACAAAAAAGAAATTCTGACAGCCATCAATGCCATGACAGATGTAGCATCAGCCATCAATGAATACAAACGCAGAAAGGATCTAGGTCAGACAATCAGATATTCATTTTCTATTGTAATTTGTACATTTATACATGTATTTGATACAATGTCAGCGGGAAATGAAACTTAAAATTATGATTTTGTGTTTTACAGTGTTCAAATATAAGAAAGTTTCAGATGAGACTTTTGGAGACAAACTTGCCAAATTGAGCTTCCATACAATAAAGAAAAAAGGCAGCAGGTTCAAAGGTCGAATTAGTACCAATCTGGGACTTCTGCTGGTAGGTGTATGTAGCTGTGCACAAGTTTTATAACTGAGGCATTGTTTGTATGAATGTTTTGTAGAAATAAGAAAAATGTCTAAAGATGTGATTGTATGGGAAGCTTAATTTTGTGTATTTTTGGCAGATCAAGGATGAGGACTTTGATAGAGAGGAGGCAAAGTTCAGACAAATGGAGAAAATGGTGAAAGTCTTTATAAGAAACACACAGATATACATGGACCATTTACAGGTACCAAGCTCATTTTATTAATTTTTTTGTTATCTAAAAAAAACAGGCACAAACATGTATAAACAGTATAATAAAACATCAAATCTCTTAATTCCATATCAATTGAGTTGACTGGTATATTTTTTGTTTATGTAGGAGTCAGTGTCTTGCCATGAGTGTGTGGTGGCCGACCTGGCCGATTTTTATGATGATCGACAGAGTAACGCAGAAATGGAGAAATACCAGGAGGCCCAGGAAAATCTGGATAGGAAGCATCTACCCACATTTGTATGTAGAGGTTTTACTCTGCTGTCTTGTTGTAAAAAAAAAAAACAAACCAACAATGGTCAATAAAAAAAAAGTGCTAAAATTTTGTATATTTCAGTCAGATTTCAATTTTGATGACCTGATAAATTAGAATAAATACTAAAATGTATTAATGTTTGATAATTTTAGCAAGAGACAGTTCGTGACCTGGTTACCTCCCCTTTGAACAGACTGACATCCCTGTTTGAGGCCCCAAACAAAGTGATACAGAAGAGGTTTGATAAACTGCTGGACTACGACTCCATGCAGAGGAAAGTCACTGATGGAAGGGTGAGAATTTTTTAGAAATAAAAATATTGTGCTTCAGTAGTTTTTTGATCCTGATCAGTCTACTTTTTAAATAAGTTGAGAATGTTGAAAGACAGTAAGGTTGTGTACAACCAGATGGTTTTTTTTTAAATGCTGAATTTTCATTGTGCATGTTTTCGTATGCACAAAAACAACATTTCAAATGCATTATAGCAATTAGCATTATTTTTTCCTTTCCTGTACTTTTGTGTCTTTATGTTATTAGATGCCAGAGAAGGCCCTTCAGCCTGTTAAGAGTGATTATGATGGACTGAATGCCCAGCTTCTAGATGAGCTTCCTAAGCTGTATAGCTTGTCTCTCCATCTCCTACAGGACTGTATCGCAGCGTTTGTACAAGCTCAGAGAGAGTACATCAACCAGCGATCTCTACAGCTGTCTGATACCCTCGACGTAAGTTTACTGAAAGGCAGTTTGTAGTGTTATACATGTACATATTCATTTCCATGGTAGAAAAAATTAATGGGAATCAATCATACGGTTCACAGTTTTCAGTTTGTTTGGGATTTTTTCACAAATTTTTCAGCACATTGGCCATTTCATTTAGGTGTTGTTTTTTTTTTTGCACAGCAGTATTGTTGAAATCAGATACAGTAGTGAATGGTAGTCTTAAGAATATGGTTTCCATTATCATTCAGTCGTTAAAATAAGTTGCCATCTTTCTGATGTTCTGCAGTGATATGATTTCACATCCTTGCATATTTGAATTAACGGTAATATTAATTGTTATATATAACTAATCATTTTAAAAACTGACACCATTAATTTTGTACTTTGCTTGACTTTTTTTCTCATTTATTTGCCTATACATTATCCAATTTTTATTTATAATTTGCATTTTAGTTACATTGATATATATGATTTTGATTTATTTTGCTTGTATATAACACCATTTTGTTTACAGAAAGTCACACAGCATGAAATAGAAACTAAATCTCAATCGCCAAACATATCTACTGTAAGTCAGTCAGTCAGTAGCGCTACAGCAGCATTGCAGTAAACAAACTCACAACATGGCTGCCGACTCCATTGTACTGCGGAGTCAAGGGAGATAAATCCTGTTGCTTTGCTTGTCAATCACTTTTGCATAATCATACATTATTTGCTTGATGCTGTTTGCATGCTTTTAGGCTTGATTTGCTTGCGTAGAAATTTCAGGTGGAGGCAGGCAATGAAGATGGCTAGTCAGGCCTAATATTCAGCCTATTTATCAGAAAAAACTTGGAGAGGAATTGCATGAACTGTGGGCTTCGATAGCAAAAAAATATACGCATAGTTTTATACATGAGGTTAAAATTGCATGACTGATGATAAATCTTGTTCAAATTTTTAAGAAAATTGACATAAATACATATGGATTTCATAGTTACCTATATTTTAATGATGGTAGGTGACATCTTGTAAGCTTGTACTCTGCTGTTATTTTATATCTACATTGTAAGTATGTGTTATTTGTAGCTTCCATCTCTTCTCTCTTCCACTGATAACTTGATGGAAAACTTCAATATCAGGCACGTAGCAGTGGTCGACAAGATGTCCTGTCTTAGTTTTATACCCAAAGGATTCAACCCTAAAGTGGACGCACTGAAACAGCCAGACAAAAAAGGGAAAAGGCCGTCCCTAGTTGTAAGTTTTATTTTGAGGGAAGTGAATTTCCTCCTTGTCACAAATGAGAAAATATCTTTAAAAAATATAATGTCTTAATATATCCCTTGTTAAGAAAGATTAGAATAAACTATGAAACAGGTGTTATTCAGGACTTATTTTGTTGAGTATTTTTGCAAAAGTTAACTAATACATTTCAAATAAGTAAATTGCCAAAGTCAAAGTTTTTGAAATTGTCGCTTGTTGCTTAAATGACAAGTTTATATGAAGCAGAGTATTTTGTTGATTGATTGATTGATCTTATGCTGTTGAAGGAAGAGACAGTCAGTTCCCAGGCTCAGAGTCAGAAAGTGTACCTTCAGCAAAAGTTCCCAGCAGAGAAACTGTACAGGGTGTTACAGAATTACACTGCCAGTGATCTGATGGACTTGTCCCTCAATGTGGGGGATCTGGTGGGGGTGGTCCAGGAAAAGGACCCCATGGGGAACAAGGACAGGTGGTTTGTCGACAGTGGAGGTGAGAGAATCTCTTTATCTTTCATTTATAATCTTGTTTAAAACTGTTCTGTGACAAAGCTTTATGAAAAAGGGACTTAAAAATATAGTCGAGATGTATAGAAATCTCAATATGTTTTAGACTTTAGATACTAAACAGCGACATTAATTTTTTTTTGCCACATGGGGTTATATGTATGTATGATTACTTTTATTTGACAGCTTCTAAAGGGTTTATACCCTCACGACTCCTTCAATCGTATCAGTCCTCAGATGTCACGGTCTGTGAAGAAACCAATCAGATTTATCCTAACATCCCTGTACCAACATCACCCCTCTCACCCACTGTGATTGGTCAAAGACAGCGTTTGACCTCCACTGGAAGTCAAGGGTCAACAAGTTCATCTGCAGTTGATGGTCTGATACAAAGTTCCACCTCATTAGACAGTGGTCAGGTGTCGACTCAGAGGTCATCAACAAGGTCATCTACACTGATCAGTCAGAAGAGCCTAAGCAATGAGTTAGATGAGTTATTAGATGAAGACATGACACCTGATCTACCTTCAGTAGAAGATTCTGTCAAACATGAATGTGAAGAGGTATATATACATGTATCTTAACTATGATTTGTGTGAAATAATATTTGAAAGGTGTGTAAAATTATATTTGTTGTGTTTTGAGTTTGGCATCCAATATGGAAAGATTCTTTTATATTCAATTCATATCTAAGTATGAAAGTCTCTGAACTCATACTGTGGAAACAGCCCATTTAGCGCCAATACATAAGAACTGCATTATGCTTGTAATATAAGATGTATTTACAAGGAATTCCTATGCAGAATTAGTCTTGCCTATAGTCAAATCTTAAATTCTTAAAAGAGTTATCCCCCATGTTGGGAGTAACACTCATTTGTAAGACATTGCCCCATAAAGATGATAATGTTGAAGAGGGAAAATGGTGCCTTACACCAGATTGACTCTGCAAAGGGAAATGACTTTTGTAAATGTGAAAGTTTGCTATTGTCTCAGTTATGTATAATGTACTGTTATGTAAAAATATTTTTGCCCTGCATTTTCAGTTTTTCTATGCTGAGTATGCCTTCCAGTCCCGGGCAGCCAACGAAGTGAGTTTGTTTGAAGGACAGGTTGTGACTGTGTACGTCAAACACGATGAGCAGGGTAACAGTGAGTGGTGGTATGTAGATGCTGATGGGGTCAAAGGTTATGTTCCATCTAATTACTTACAGCCAATGAGCTGACAGGATAAAGTCATTGGACCCAGGAGAATCTCTGAAGATCAACCAATCAATGAGCAGATAACAAATGTATCATTTTCCCCCTTCTTTAATGATTTTGATGAAACAGTAAAAAATACACATTTTTAATAATTGAAGGAGAAAGGAGTTTTGGATTGACAATCCATCCTATAAGCTAGTCTATGATGTCCTGTGTATTAATGTTTTATTGTTGAGTGCTGCATGTTATGTAATGAAAGTTCTATTTGTGAACTGTAATTTTTTAAGCTTACCAAAGATGACACTTTTTGTATGTTTTGTACAAAAAAACTTTTATTTTCAAACATTTTTTTTTTTCATTTCATGCAAACAGGTTTGGAAACTTCATTTGCATATATCCTTAATAAAAATTAATTTTAAGAAATGTCCCACAGAAAAAGATACATTTCAGAGTATGCTTAGAAATTCTTGTTGTAAGTGCTATTTTGTGAAGGGTTTAATTTTTTATATACTTATATCTTGAAAGATTTTAAGTGGAAAATCTTTAAAAAATGTTATGCTGATATAATTATTTTATATGCATATATTAAACAAATTGCAAGGTAAAATTGTTGGTCCTTGGGACTTAATTAATTACTATAACGAATTGTCACTGTATTTATACATTAATCTGGCTCTTTTTATATATATTCATTTTAATATTTAGTATTTAATGTAGAAATTTAAAACAAGGTTATATACATGTACGAGTAGATTTTATTTTTCATTTGCATAATGTTACAGCTTTTAGTTATCAAATAGATATTCCATTAGATTTTTTACTTTTTGATAAAGGGTAGCTCTGTATTTATGATGTTCAGTGGAAAGCTAATTGTTCTTACATTGCAACTTTTTCGTGTTATACAACTGAATTGTGATTATTTTTCAGCCTGAGATTATGAGATTGATTATGAATGTGACAGATTTGACATCCTATAGCAGATTGACATTAGTAACATTAGTACATTGATATTGACTTTGTACGATTTCGACTATAGTGTGGCGTGACGTCCCATAGGAAATTGACATTAGACTTTGTAGGGCTTTGATAAGTGACCCCCTACAGCCCATTGACATTAAACTTTGTTTTGCTTGGATTGTGGTGCTTTCAAGCTTTCTGTGATAATTAGCCAGAGGTATCTGTAAACTATATAACTCGTCTTGCATTTACTCTTGATTATCAGGCAAAACACACATACATGTATAGTATGATCCCTTTATGGTAACTATATGTAGATACATTTCTAATTAACAATCATAGTGAGAAGGAGAGATAATTAATCAATTATGTATATAGAGATTTCCAGCTTTTCTTTCAACAATTAAATAACTATTGCTTTGTGTGAGCAGAATTCCTTTGCATACAAGAAGGTTCTTTAATGTTTCACTTTATGAAAATTATCATTATAAAAGAGGATGTCAGTTTATAGTTATGCTACTGTATCAACACAAGAAATTATATTTACAGTTACATTTAATCCATTTGTCCAAAGAACATGGTACATGTAAATGAATATAAACAAGTTTTGAAATTTCTTAAAAATTTCAATATCTTTGAACAAAACAGCTGGGATAATCTTTCTCTCATCCAAGAAAATTTTTATTTGTAAACAAACATGTAGCAAAATTAACAAGTGCAATATATAACTGTGCCACTAACAGGAATGTTATGTAATGTATCATAGTTAAGGATGTATATACATTTGTTAATTCTTGTCCTTCTTTTAATTTAAGATTTTAAGGATGTTTGTCCATTTGTTAACTCTTGTCTTTCTTGTAGCTAGTATCTAATATTTAACTTTTGCCGTTGTTTACACATTTCCCTTAGTACATACATTCCATTATTGTTAGTCAGTATGTGATTTAATATCCATTTACATGATTATTATTAGGGCAAATAATTTTGTACTTTATACGCATCTTGGTTGTATAGTGCTTTTATACTTATTAAGGTTATGGGCTCTTATTAATTAAACTCATTTTGGTCTGGACTATTTTAAATATACATGTATTAGGAAGAATTTTTTAAAATGATGAAGTGCATGGATACATGTAAAAATGGACTATGTAAGTTTAAATTTAGGAATTCTCATAACAAATATTAAAACTATGATAAGAATCTACTCTTAGAATTTAATTACACACACTATTCTCTTTTTTCAGTGACCATATATATCACGATTAAAGTTTCAAAGTTGGATCATCCTTTTTAGCTCACCTGAGCTGAAAGCTCAAGTGAGCTTTTCTGATCACATTTTGTCCGGCGTCCGTCTGTCTGTCCGTCTGTCTGTCCGTCTGTCTGTCTGTCTGTCCGTCTGTCTGTAAACTTTTCACATTTTCGACTTCTTCTCAAGAACCGCTGGGCCAATTTCAACCAAACTTGCTACAAAGTATCCTTGGGTGAAGGGGATTCAGGTTTGTTCAAATGAAGGGCCACGCCCTCATTCAAGGGGAGATAATTGGGAATTAATGAAAATTTGGTGGCATATTTAAAAAATCTTCTTCTCAAGAACCACTGTGCCAGGAAAGCTGAAACTTATGGGGAAACATCCTCAGGTAGTGTAGATTCAAGTTTGTTCAAATCATGACCCCCGGGGGTAGGGCGGGGCCAAAATGGCCGACCAAAGTTTTACATAGAAATGTATAGGAACTGGAAAAATCTTTAAAAATCTTCTTCTCAAGAATGACAAAGCCATAATTCATCATATTTATATGGAAGCATGCTCAGGTAGTGTAGATTCAAGTTTGTTCAAATCATGACCCCCGGGGGTAGGGCGGGGCCAAAACGGCCGACCAAAGTTTTACATAGAAATATATAGGAAAATTCTTTAAAAAATCTTCTTCTCAAGAATGACAAAGCCATAATTCATCATGATTTATATGGAAGCATGTTCAGGTAGTGTAGATTCAAGTTTGTTCAAATCATGACCCCAGGGGGTAGGGCGGGGCCAAAATGGCCGACCAAATTTTAACATAGAAATATATAGGAAAATTCTTTTAAAATCTTCTTCTCAAGAATGACAAAGCCATAATTCATCATATTTTATGGAAGCATGCTCAAGTAGTGTAGATTCAAATTTTATTAAATCATGACCCCCAGGGGTAGGGCGGGGCCAAAATGGCCGACCAAAGTTTTTAAAGATATATATAGGAAAATTCTTTAAAAATAATTTTCTAAAAAATAGCAAATCCATGATTCGTCATGGGACTACTTTTGGATTTAAACTTTCTATTAAAAAGCTATTTTCTACTTTTTCCTACCCTTAGTGCTCAGGTGAGCGATGTGGCCCATGGGCCTCTTGTTAAAGTTTACACTCAATTTTTAAACAAGGAAAGACAACTCTTGTTACAATATCATTTAAGTCCAGGGATATGTGGGTGTTAAGGGGGGGGGGGGTTAAATCTGAAAATAACAGAGAAATTGTTGACTTTCTGATTGCTTTTTGAGGTATAATCCTATTTAAGATATCTGAAGAAAGTGATACATTTATATCTGTGAAATAAATACTCAGTACTGTAATCTGCAGGAGTGAGTGAAAAAAGTCTATCTTTGTATCATATGTAAAATATTTTAAAGGATGGTCCACAATTAAAGGGTATATAGCAGTATTAAATATATAATACATATACAATTCAATATATATTCAATTATCTACTTTTATGCAGTAAGTTCGATGTACACAAACCATATTTGGTTGTAACTCCTGTAGGAATGGAATAGAATATCCATTAACTTTTCTTTTAAGGTATTCTGGAGAGAGTGTTTTTAATTATTTTCTGTATTTTTTTGTTTTTTTTTTGTATACTTTTTTTGATAAGAAAAAAAAATAATTAAAGATATTGCTGCTGAAAATTTATGTAGCAAATGGTTGCAAGGAGATTGAACAAATCCACATCAATCAAACGTTTTAACTATTAAAATTTATCTTCACAGTTGGTATATACAGGTATATGCAAGTAAATGTATGTTGTAAAACAAGTTGTATTTACATCTCTATGAAGAATTGCTGATAATTTTCTTTTAAAAAGCATTTTGATACGTCTTTATTCAATGTCAATTTATTGTATTTAAAATGTAAAATCTCCCACTTGCTGTTACTCATTGCTCAAATAATTATAAACTGAGAATTAAACATTTTACTCACTTTATGTATGTAATTCTTTTTTATGTTATTCTTACTGCTATTGTGCACTCCTCTTATTGAGAAGTGGAAGTTTGTCTTGATCCCTGACAAATGATGAGAGAGAGTAAGATATGTACTCAGACTTTGGTCTGATTTATTGTTTTATCTCAAGAAATTGTACTTGATGGGTGCAAGGCAATTTTTCATAGTTTAGGGGGAAAATTATCCAAATAAAATACATACTATGTTAGTATCGGAATCGAATGGTATTCTTGTCATAAACCTTTGAAAAATATTCATGTACATTTGAATGGTATCTCGGAAATGGATTTTTGCATATAATATTGATATGTCAATGTGATTTTGAAGTCTTCAACCCCTTATTCTTTAAAGTTTTTACCTTCAATAGTGAATACTTATAGATATCTGGAAGTTTTTTTTTCTTGGTCCCATTGAGTTCAAGATAACTAGGTTTGACTGTACTTAGTACGTCACTACTTTTTAATTTTACATTCTGGTCATGTTCTCCTTTATTTATACCTGCAGCTCAGATGACTTAGAATCCTGTGTCTTTTCAAAAGGTATATAATGTTGTGGGATGATAAATTTTAGATTTTGAAAGGCTTTTGTTGCCTTTCATAATTGAAATGCCATCTTTCTTTTGCTGTAAACAACCACCTGTTTAATGTTAAATCTTCCAATACCTTGACACACAAGAGGGTACAGTCCATAAAAAAATTAGTCCTCTACAATTTATCATTTTATTTAATGTTCCATGCCTCATTTATTAGCTGTTTTTTCAAGGTCATACTTTGATAAATTTTGTCATGTCATGCCACTTCTTACGTTTTGGTTATAAAAAATGTACATGTGTTTTTATTGATATCTGAATGCTACACATTGTTAGCTTGAACTTAACAATATGTTGTTGGGTTAAATGTATCAAAGATCAGGAATCAATCATGATTATTGTGCAGTAGTGCAGGTTGCTACTTTGAGGTATACGTAAATATTGATTTTGTTCTATTGTCTTAATTAGATTGATTGAGGATAAATTATATGGCAGACAGCACGATTTTGATATTTATCGCTCTATACTGGGGTGTGTCAGATACAAATCTATAACTGATAAGACAGACCTCGGTGATTTTTATGAGGGTCCAATTTCAGCTGGTGCAAGGATTCCCCTATTGTTGATTTTTGTGTTTTTTTATTGACTTGATCAGGATGCCTAGTTTATATATTTCTTTGTTATTTTAGGAGTAAAATTTCACTTTTAAATGATGTTTTAGGTAGAAATTGCTGGAACAAGATGCTTTTGTATGGCAAAGAAAGGCTGAATTCAAGAGATCAAGTTTCAAGAATTTGCACACTTCACATGTATTAAACTTTGGTGAAAGTTTAAGTGCATTTCCCTAAAAAAAGTTTTCAGTTAGGATTAATGTTGTCACATGAAGCATTTTTGCACATTTTCCCCCAACAAACCCCATATTGTTTTGTAGTCCAAGTAATACATGTATTTTGTTTGATTGGTTTGTTCTTCTAAAGTATGTAGGTTTAACTTTCCATTAGTGCTGGGCTTGGCTTTTATCATTGTTTATAGATGTTTATTTAATTATGAGCCAAATTTTACCTAGCCCAGGCGAAATGATACTCGCTGCCTAAATTTGACTGGTGGCATTACATACCAAAAAGTGCTGGGTTACAAATCATAATTAATAGTTCGCACAAGCCTTTTCAGTACTGACTGGTCTAGGGTCTTCTATGTGTTTATCAAGCATGGTAGATTAGGCATTGATTAATTGTATATCTAATGTTTGAGTGTTTAATTTACCAGAAATGGGTTCTAAGCACAATGTTAACCTCAACCTTAGCCAAATGAATCAATTGTAATAGTGTGCTTCCATTAGAACTCTGTATAGACTGGGTCCGTTACTTGGGTACTAATCTGTTCACATTTTAGTGTTATTCTCCAGTGTTATTTCTCTGGGATATTTATGTCTATTTTTCCATTGGTTCGCTTAATGACTGTTCACCTTTGCTGTTTGTGACAAGATTTTATGTTAAAGAAAAGGTTATTTTGGTGTTCAGGGGTGATAAAACTTTTGGTTAAAGTCAGAACTAATCTTTATAGATCCCCGTGAATTGATTTTTCTGGAAGGATGATGATTGTAATTTTCCTTTTTACATTTTTTTTAATCTGAAAGTCATAGCTTGTAAAGAAAGTCCTAAGAATGCTCTTTTGCATATCTATTCAAAATCCATGATCAATAAATTTTTAGAAGGAGAGCAACGGAAAGATCTGTTTTCATCAGAAGCAAGAGAAATTCAAAGTGAATTTTTATGTAATTTTTTTTTGTTTTTGAAGAACTTTAAATGGAAGAAAAATCAAAGCAATAAGTAATGAGAGACATTATATTGTTATAAACTTAATGTTGTAAAAACTGTCATATCTGTATTATCTAATGGTAGAACATTTAAATGAAAAAAGGCGTGCAGTGAATTTCTTAAGTATTTAATCCAACCATATCTTAATTTAAATCCATTAATTCATACAAACTATTGGTCCCTCAGAGTAAGATTTAAAGGTCCCCTGATTTACTAAGGATTTCAGTGGTATTGTTATGGCCCTACAAGCTATAAATATTTGCAAACTTCAGAAGTTTTGAATAGAATCTAAAACAGGGAAACATTTAAGATAAGTAACAGTAAAAATGCCATAAACAGCCCCACTGAGGGTGGGAAATGTAACAGCCTTGTGTACTATCGCTGAGCTGTGTGGTAACCGGTCAATTTAAATTCGTGGATGTAGCTGACAGAAGATTCAGTTTGTAACTGGTCAATTTAAATTTGTGGATGTATACAGCTGTCAGAGGATTCAGTTAAAGATGAGGAGGATGTGAGAAGGAAATGTTTCATTTAAAGTTTCCCAAATTCAGAGGATTTTTTACTTGGGAAGAATTAGGGTAAGTTAACTGTTAATAATTTTTATCATATTTGTAGAATTTGACTTTTTGTTTTGAAGTATTGTTTTATTTTATTAACCAATTAAAGTAAAGTGAAATTACGTGCCTAGGCATATTAGATCTGTATTATGAATTTGATGAAAATTGTGATTTTAAATTGATCGAAATTTAATTTTCAGTTTTTTTGCTTTGTTACAAATAAGAAATTTGAAATTTAATTATTATGCTGTAGAATTTATTCAAGTTATGAGATACAGACATGGATAAATACAGTTTTTTTTCTTCATTTTATTGATTCTGTTGTTTTATTTTATATTTGTTCTGACAGTTATCGCTGAAACTTAATAACAGTAATTCAATATATACCCGTATCATTCAATTTATTGATTTAGTATTGATTATAGTATCGTTTTCATAACTTATCCAGAACATTAAATGAATATTGTTCATAAGAAAATCAATACATTCTTTCATTAGTGAAATAATTTCTATAGAATCTAATTAACAGAGTTAATCCCAGTTAATTGTTTTATACCTGTTGTTGTACTTTTAATGGGATGGTCAACATGATATAGAGATTAAAACTCGGATAACTCTAATAATTTTATTTTTTCATTACTTTAAATTGAAATTAAAAATTTTACTTTATCTTTCAGATGCCTAGCAAGAGCCCTGGGTGTAAGTATATATATTTTAAGATCATGTCTATATTAGTAGAGGTAAAGAATCTACAGTGGAGCCTCATAAATATGGACACCAATAATCTGGACCCTTCACATTTTGGAGAATTTTGTGGAAAACAATTTATGCTAAATAATTCCATGTTTTTTGTTGTTTTTTTAATGAATCTGGATGATTCATTAATCTAGAGACAGTTTGCTTGATAACAGAAGTGACAGAGTAATTAGGCTTCACTATTAATTAAATTATAAAGTATATGTCTAGTATTTCATTAGATGTACTCAACACAGGATGTACATGTAAGACAGAGCCAACATCATACATTTATTGACTGTGTTTGAGGGCAAGATGCATTTAGTTGGACCCAAGAACCAAGTTGTTTGCTGAAGGCAAACCATTTGGTTGGAGGATGGACAAAATGCATTTTGCTTCAGAACACAGTCAAGAAATGTTTTGTTATTTTACACTTTATTTTGACACTTCATGTAAATTTTGTTTACCCACAATGCAGCTTAAACTTGGTCCATTGTATGAAGTTCTGTCAAACTTCAACTAATTGCAACAGAGAAATAAGTAACCCTGCTCAGCCTGTGACATATTCAGTTCAACATCTCTGGGGTCAAACATCAGTTGTTTTTTTTTATGTCCGCTCCATTAAACAGTGGAATAGTTATACTTTTTTTTAGCACAGGACAAAATAATTACACATTCAGTAATTATATTCATCTGTAGTTGTTTCAAATGGATTTAAAGTACACAAAGAAGTTTGGAGGGTGTAGACTAAGTTTTTTATCTTAATCTGATTCAGATTTCAATCATGGAAATTTTAAGCTTTAATTTATATTTGAATTCTTTGAAAGTGAACAAGTATACAGCTGTACTTATCCAAAATCAACTAGAGGTCAACCTGTTTAAAAACTAATATAAAAATTTGATTATCACTTGATATGATTAAATATAAACACTACCGAATTAAATCTTCTTAAGTGTCCAAGCATTAGTCTACATCAGGAACAAGGCAAATTAATCTGGTCCCCGAGCAGGACAATAGGTGTGTTATATATGGGACAGTCCGTTGTGGTCATAATATGTACAGCCATATAAAACATGTGCAGCTTAATCCCTATAAACTAAAGGATTAGCCCTAATGACTTTATTAATTTATTAAATATCTGCATATTATTGCATTTAATCTTCTTTTTTAGCAGATTAAGTGCTTGAAGGAAAATTTGATCAATTTATAGATTATTGGTAATTTTGTACCTCCTGCAATGGAGTGACCGTTCTCTGGATGCTTGCTTCTGACCTACATTTTATGCCCCAGTGACTTTGGTGAAGTGGACAAAACAGTTGTTAAGCTTGTCTCGCATTTAATTAGGTCACACTTTCTGGCTTATTTTAAGAGGTATCAAAAAAAAATTTGCTGTTTAGATGTATCCAAGTGCACTGTGATGTTCAAGATGCTGCATTTGATGTACAATTTGTATGATTCATTAAGCCAATGGTAGGCAAATAAATTTTTTACATATTGTCAGTGAAAAACAGTGATTGACCGATACTAGTACATGTATAGGGCAAATGGAAAGGATCAGTCACATAAACTCTTAAATGTTACAATATATATAAATATCACGTTAATTGATGTATTAGCTGAATATTTTTGAGTATTTTCTAACAGAAAAGAGGCAATTTTGATAGCCAAAAGAATATATTTTAACATGGGACTAATTTGTACATTAAATATAATCTATATGTATAGAAATGAGACTAATTATGTATGATGACAAGGGAGATGTATACCTGTGGAATGGAATCCCTTTCTACACCTGATTAATGTGCACTTTCCTGTGTACACAATGTGCAGTTTGTGAAATAAATGGCCAGTTCGTGTAATCAAACATTGACACAGAGATTAAGGAAAGCTGATTGTTTTGGCAGATTTAACACGTGATAATTCACATCAAAGTTGTCTTTGGGTGCCATGCTCAGACACCTGGCTCAGATATTCCATAGCCCACCCTCTATATTTTCTACTCTGATAATTGATCAATTGGTTGCCTGGCCTTAATTCATAAAACAATCATGATTGACAAATGTAGTGGTATATTTCAATGTCTTTTGTCTAATGTGATTGATTTTAGAGAGCTAAATTGTTTCTTCTATAGTAATTTAAAGTTCTTGACAATGCAATGTGCAGAAGTGACCTTCAACTGTTAAATTGTGTAAAGTTGCACTTTTGAAAATAGGAAAGATAATTATAAATGTCCTGTTGTTTAAAGATTTTTCATTAAGTTTATTTTTTTTAAATCTATTTTTGAAAAAAAATATTGTCAATTTCAATTGGCTCCTGTAAGGTGTGACTTATCAACAAGGGATGCTTTATTCTCCTTGGCATCTGGCCCCTCTCTGATGTTGCCATGGGCCCATTTTTCTGCCCTGCTTACAGATTCCTTTTTTTAAAGGATTTATAAAATTCATCATTCCTCTTTATTTTAATATAATGAAATTTTAGTGAAACTCGGATATCCATCAGATAGAACACCCTCTTGAGAATTAATTCTCCACTGAATTTCTAGTCGTGTAACAATATCTAATACTTGTAGTTGTATAATGTATACATGTACATAATTCATATAGTAAGGACAGATATGTTGTTTTCTTAACAATGTTATATTTATTCTGAAATTCCTTGTAACAATGTTTTTATTGTCTTGCAGTACCCAGTTGACCTGTTTAAGAAGAATGTCAACGGGTCGGAGTTGGTCATTGAAGAACATGGCCTAAGTCTCAAGGTAATGCTGTAAAAACATAAAGCAGAAACATTATAAGACAGAAGCCAAGAATTCAGATGTCCATCACCTAGACAAAGTGTAGAATATTTGATATTCATATGTAGTCTATCTGACTGAACCTTTCTTTTTGGAGGAGGTCCATTTCCATGTAACTTTATGATCTACTCTGACCAAACTTGCATGGATGCTGCATGGATTTTACCAATTAGATATTTTACAGGTGATTGAACAGGTGAAAGTTTTTGGAGCAGATCCATTATCATGAATTTAATGGCCTTGCCTGACCTAACTTGTTGGAAGTTGACAATTTAGGGGTACACACTACCAACCATGCTTATATGCTATGTCTGATTTAAATTTTCTACTGAATTAAACAGATTTATTTTGGAGCAAGTTTCCAAGGAACTGTTAGCCTTACCTAAACATTACTTACACAGATGTTGCATTTAACCATGTACAGTAGCTAACAGGCCGGCTTCAGATTTTGTACCTGAATCAGGAGTGTATTTCTCTTTTAAACTGAACAGTTGGCGTTTTGGAACAGGTCCATTCAGTGTTACCTGGATCAAAAGCTTTAAGGATAACACACTATGAGACCTAACCTTACATATATTAGTTAATATTGTTGAGCTTTCTAATCTTTAATTACCCATGTTATTTATTTTTAGGAGTCCTACAAGATGGTGGACCATCGCCTGCTGGAGAGGGCACTCCACAGAACCTGTAATCTCCACTCCGGAGACTGGAACATGAATGTGGTCAGGAAAAGTCTGTACTTCCTGAGTCATTCAGCCATCACGTAAGTGTCTCTCTTTTTTTCAGATATTCATCCATCAGGTAAATGTCTGTATTTTTCAGGTATTCACCCATCATGTTGTGTCTTGACAATCACTTTCTTAGTCCTTCAGCCATCACTTTTAAAAGTGTCTGGGCCATCACTTCCTCAGTCATTCAGCCATCAAATTAGGTGACTGAACTTTTTAAGTTATTTTATCGTCAGTGTAAGTGTCTGTACTTTCTCAGTCATTCTGCTACATGTATCTAAGTATGCAAAGTCATCTTTAGTATGGTTACTGTCCATGTCTGCTATTAGATAAATTATAAAATGTCTAGATGTACAATATTTTATGTCCTTGATTAATTGTCTTACTGTATATTCGTTTGTTTTTTTCGCAATGATCTATTTTTCACTTTTTCTGTGATCATTTTTTATTTGCAAAATATAAAACAGGCAGAAATTATGTCAGCTATACTGTGACATAAACACACTACCATTTTTAAAAAAAAAAATCAATTACACAAAATAAAAACTGTAAAAATTTACCCCCTTTTTGCAAAATTTCCAACACTCAAAAAAAACCCCGGATATACAACTTTTCTTGTGAATTAGCATAATATTGTATGCACCATATGACATTTTGATGAAGTGATGATGTATATAGCCATCATTTAGGATTCTCAGTTTATGGTCTTGTCGCCTGAAATATTGAATCCACTGCAATTAATTCTTACTGCAACATTACTTAGTACACTACATGTAGTAGTGAATCCGGGTTATCTTAGCTCAGAGTTAATCTGCATTGATTTTATTGCATGAAATGACCTGAAGTTTACCCAACTCATATTTGAAGTGTGCTAAGTCACCAATAAGTCTTCAATCTAACACTTCACACCTTTAGTATATAAACTGAGTTGATGTCAAAGAGGATTATTTTACAATGTATCTTATGAACAAGACAAATATTAACAGGGCTTTAATTACTTTACTCCCTTATTAAACATACTAAGTAGGTGCCATAAGTCTTAATTTACAAGAAATTTCATGATCTAGACAAATATTATGATTTCATGGAAAAAGGGCTTTAAATTAAATGACATTGTCATCTATAGATGAGAGTTTTGACTTTTTCATTAATCTTTTCAGTTGGTTTATTTTATGTATAGTGTCTTAGATTCTATCTATGGATGATCCCTTAGTTTGATTTTTGTCTGGTGTTCCATTTTTTCATCAGATCACTGTTTAATAAAGAATACAGTCTCTACACACATTTCAAAACTGAAATAGAAAAATTGCAATAATTGTAACTGAGTAAACTAAGCTAAAAAGACTATATCATGATAAGTTGTGTTTCTTTAATGATCTATACTTTTTGTGTATAACTGTTGTATGTTATCCAAATGTCCATTTTCACAAGTAATTGTACTTTTGTATACAGTGTATATACTGTTTAGTTCTGGTTAGCTCTATAACATCAGAGTGGCATACCAGGCCTTTGAACAGTTTGACATGAAGGGACTTTTGATTGACCAAGAGATCCTACTCAGTAGTATCAAGGTAGGTTATGATTAGATCTTACTAAGGTCTGCTCAGATCCTACTCAGTTCTGCTTAAATCCTACAAAGGTCTGGTAAGATCCTACTAAGGTCTGCTTAAATCCTACTAAGGTCTGGTTAGATCCTACTAACATCTGGTTAGATCCTACTCAGTTTTGCTGAGATCCTGCTAAGGTCTACTTAAATCCTACTCAGTTCTACTTAGATCTTACTTAGGTCTGCTTAGATACTACTCAGTTTTGGTTAGATCCTACTTAGGTCTGCTTATATCTTACTAAGGTCTGCTTAGATCTTACTAATGTCTGGTTAAACCCTTCTAATGTCTGCTTAGATCCTACTCAGTTCTTGTTAGATCCTACAAAGATCTGTTTAGATCCTACTATGGTCTGGTTATATCCTACAAAGATCTGGTTAGATCCTGCTAAGGTCTGGTTAGATCCTACTAAGGTCTGGTTAGATCCTACTAAGGTCTGGTTAGATCCTACTAAGGTCTAGTTAGATCCTACTAAGGTCTGGTTAGATCCTACTAAGGTCTGGTTAGATCCTACTAAGGTCTGGTTAGATCCTACTAAGGTCTGGTTAGATCCTACTAAGGTCTGGTTAGATCCTACTAAGGTCTGGTTAGATCCTACTAAGGTCTGGTTAGATCCTACTAAGGTTTGGCTAGATCCTAGTGCTAAGTTCTGGTTAGATCCTTCTCAGTTCTACTTAGAAGCTACTTATTAGATCCTACTAGTAAGGTAGACCAGTAGGAATCTAACACTGATCCAATGACTTTATTAAAAGGTTTGTAATTGCAGCAGCAGCTCTATATTGTAGTTGTTTGTGGTAGAACAAAAACAATAAAATAAATTATTTACTTTCAGACTTTATCCAATATAAATCAGTACCAAAGAAATAAAATATTCCAAATATTGAAAAAGCTGAATCTTTGTATTGATTAACTGTGACAATCATCATTTTTTATGAATTAATTGCTTGACAACATAGTGCATTGCTCAGAATTAATACATTATTCTCTAAAAGGAAAACTGACATGAATTAAGTTTTTCTTTACTTTGTTTAAATGTTTCTATGGGGTTTGTATCTCTACAATGAAAATATGGTCTTTAGTTTTTAATCTTTGCCTTCATCCTTAGAATCAAACTTTGTTGATAAATTGTCAAAAGAATCATTTCAATTATCTGAGCATTCAATAACTTCAAACAGAAAAATGTCAATAAGTTCTTAATCCTTGTACAATGCTGTAGGATTTCATTTTAATATTGATAAAAATATGGCTTTGGTGTCTTTCTGTTTATGTATAAAAATGTCTTCTGAACTGTTAAATCTATTGCAGGTATTGAGGATTTTCATTAAGTCTTTGGTAAATGAAATGTTTGAAGTCAAAAAATCTTAAAGTAAATTCAAAAGATTGATTTTTCACTTTTTTCCCTTTTCTTCCGTTATCAGCCTTGTATTAACTTGCTATGCAAATGCAAATGATTGTTTAAGAAAGCGTAATCTCGTATTCATGTTAATTCTTATATTTCTGGCTGGGGTACTTGAAATTTGTATGTAAAAGAGATTGTAAGACAAGCAGAAAATGCATGTGTGTTATTGATATGGTCACCTGCGATATTTAATAGAAATTCCTGTCCCTGCTTCATACCAACAGCAGGGTGCATGGTGATTAAGTCCCTTGTATGGCAGTTATGCAAAGCTTATCACCTGTTTATATTTTTTCTCGATTTAATTAAATTTGTCTGTTTTCTTAGTCTGCCCCTGTTGAGAAGGTCAAATCACTATTTTGGAATTCCATTATTTTAGATTTCAATAATATTCTGATTGGTCTATTCAGTAAGCTTCTCATGTTGGTGTGTATTCATTTTGTTTTAAAGTATTTTCTTTAATTTGTCATATTTTTTTGATGGGATATCAAGAATTTCCACATTATTGTTTAAACAATTGTCTCGGCACACGTTCTGCAAGAAAACAAATAGAATTGTACATTTATTTCAGGCCTGGTTTCATTTATGGACTGTTTGAGTGACAGTTTAACACCAAAGAACTAATTAAACAAGATTGGAGAAGATTCTGTAGTTCAATATCTATAATACATATTATGTAATCACTGTGCAGATATTTGCATTTCTTTGTTAAAGATTTTTTTGGTACAAATTTATGACAGTCCAAACAGTTATAATTCACCCTCTTGAGATGAGATCATTCCATACATTTGCACAGACCAAGATATCTGTTAAGAATTTACTCATAGTTTGTGAGTGCATCCTCTTCCACATATTTGTACACCGAGAACAAAATTCTTTGACACATCGATTTTTTCATGACCAGATATTTGAGAGGTAATGATCCATTTTTACTTGTCAGATAAAAGTTTGATATTATCTTTACATTATCTATCGTGAGTTTTGTAAATGCTGTATTCTTCACTAAGATCAAATGCTTCTTTCATTGGTTTTTTCGTAATTTGATATCTGACTTTAAAGTGCGTCATAATTGGAGGGTAAAGAAAATATTAATAAGACCCTCAAAGGCATAATTGATCTGAAGATGCTCTTGTGTAATTTAATTTTCTTATTTTGACTGAGAAGTCAGTCTATAGTATATATATAGGATCGCAGGGTTCTCTAGCTCGTGGAATCAGAAAAGGCATTTAGCTTCAATTGAATTAAACTGCGGAAAAAAAATCTTTTGGACACTGACAAATATGTGCTCTCTTAAATCACAAAGGGCTAAGTGTACTGGGTACACAGTGTATCTTATAAGTGATTGTTGTTGAATTTATTATGGGTGTTTATTTTATCCCAAACCAATATTTGTTGAGCTTTCAACAAGAAGTTTATGTATTAGGAATGTAAATATAGAAGTGTTAGTGCCCTTATAAAGCTCTAGACAAATTATAAGTGGACAGTGTTAGATCTGATGTGGTAGGAACCCCCAAAAATAGAAATTAGGGATGTCACTTAATAAGCCAAGAAATAAAGGAATTTATACTGTGTATTAAGCTGCTTTTTCAAAACATATTTTAAATGTACAAAATTAATGGTAAAGCAATCTTGAAAATACAGTTTCATATATAATTTCAAATTCATCACCTTTTCCGTCTGTCCGTCTGTCATAAATATATATTAATCGTGTCTGATTTTTCATTAAACACATTTTGACCTAGGGTGTGTCATGACCTTGACCCAATATATAATTTCAAGGTCACTGGAAGAAAAATTTCATATTCATTAATTTTGGATAAATATCATATTTCACACAAAGATTGTGGCCCAGGTTTGGTTATAGAAAGGTCATTTGGGGAAGTTCAAGGTCACTGGAAGAAAAATTTCATAATTTGTGTCCGAAATCTTTCTTATGGATAAACTTGGTAGGTTCTTCTTTCACACAAAGATTGCCTGGCTTATTAAGGTCAGCTTTCACTGGTTTTATACTATGGATAAACTTGGGGTTCATTTCACACAAAGATTGCTGACCCAAGGGTGTGTCATGACCTTGCCCCTTATAAGGTCACTGAAGAAAAATTTTTATGTTTGATACATATCTTTATTAAGGAAAAACTAGCAGGGGGTGTAAGTTCTAGTTAATTTTGTTAAATATTTTCATTTTTTTGAGGTTGGGTTTTAAAAAGGGGAAATATACTTTGAAATTTGAAAAAATCTCATTGTGTATACTAGCTTGATTGTTAATACTTAGACTTAAGCCCTCAAAGCATTGAAGCTTTTTATATAGATGCTGGTAGCTAAATTTCTAAAAGGGGAAAGATCTTATATATTTGAAACCACAAATGCAAAAGTATTAGTGATCTCATCTTCATGTATGGGGATATAAACAGAAGAAAAATCTACTTGTATCTATTGAGAAAAAAATGAACAAATGCCACCAGTTTATTTTAGAAAAGTGAATTAGCTGTCAATCCATAAAAGGTATAGGAATACATGAAATTTTATTGATATCTTCAATACTGTTTTCTACCCAAGTTAAAACCCGGCCATTTCCGTCCATTGTGCTCTTTGTTGGTTTTAGAAATTGTTTGCGATGGAGTAGGTATATTATTGTATCCATTATGTGGAAGGATATTTTTAAATCCTTTATTCTCCCCTTAATTTTATTATAAGCAATAAATCATTATAATTTGAAAGGCCAGTATAAATCAATTCATTTGGTATGTTAAATTAACGAGTTCAGAGAGAAAGAATACAACTATCATAATGGCTATGAAAACATGGTGTCAAATGTTGTTAAACTTTGCAAGGACTCAACGACCATTTGTCAATTTACTATCACCAAAAAATAATTAATTTCACAAATGCAGGAGACATTTTTGATTATATTTAATATTTGATATCACCAACCTTTTGTTGATTTATGGAATTTCAAGATCATACAAAGGAAGGGGTTGACCTTTATGTCTTCTGCAAACAGTACATATATAAGACTTGTCTTTTGCATGTTTGCTTTCCTGGTAGTGGCGTATAGAGTGACCTGCATTTTCATTGCAAGTTTAATCAAGTCTTCTTTTATAACAGTTTAAATTATTTTCTGCCAAAAAATTTGCTTAAATATTACTCATTTTATACTTTAAACAATAATCAATCTTTTTTTCTACAACAAACTAAACTGGAACTCTGTAAAAAAAAATTATTTACAATTGATGAAATTGATTAAAATTTCAAGCATCATCGTATGGTCTATGTGAAGATTTTTAGTTTGTTCAAATCATTAACCAAATTAAGTTCATGCATTCACATATTCTACTCAATTTTCAGACACATGTATCATTGAATTAAATCATATTGACAATAGGTCCTATTGTACCTTTGGTCTCAAGAGTAAAAGATTTTTGACTAGAAACTATTATAGCCCTTATATTGTATTCATTAGATTCCCTTGTGTGATAGCTACAGACTTAATACAATATGAAAACCTTTCATCTTTCAAGCTATATTAAATTTGACATAACTTTGTGTTTTTAGATGTGTGGACGATCCATTGCTCCTATGAAGTTAATGCACAGATTAAAACATATGAAGGTTCATTTTGAAGACAAAACTCGCATCCAGTTATCTGAGTACCTTGAGCTTATCTTGTGGTAAGTTAAAACATGTGAAGGTTCATTTGGAATCCTTGTACACCATTTTTGGATAAAACTTGCATTCAGTTATCCAAACGAGGTTGCCTCCTAGCTCAAGGTTTTGGTGTGATGCTATTTTGAACTATGATTAGAGAGTGCAAACATTAGAAATATACTCTTGAAAATATGGATTCTAAATCGATAATTTTGAAGATAAACACAAAGCAGAGATATTTTGCCATCTCAAAAATTACTTGAGAATTAATTCCCACCCACTATTTACATACATAGATGTAGTTATTTTTTAAGAGAGATATACTCTTTATGACATTTCTGGACAATTCCTAAAACAGCATTACGTGTAATGTTTTTATGTCCATCAGTCTGTGTGTTTAATATTTTAAAATATTTCAATAGTAATACATGCATTTATCCCCTTGCTCTCTTATAGTCTGAATAAAATAAAATCTGAGATAGCTAAATTTTGAACTATGATTAAAGAGCTATCCGTTTTCGTCCGTCGTCGTGCGTCGTGTGTCGTGCGTTGTGTGTCGTGCGTCGTGTGTCATGTGTTAACATTTGAACATTTTCAGCTTCTTCTCTGAAACCACTGAACCAATTTCAACCAAATTTGGTATACAGCATCTATGGGTGGAGGGGAACAAAAATTGTGAATTTCATGGTCCCCGCCCCCCTGAGGCCTGAGGGGTGGGGCCAAAACCACTAAAATTATTGCAATCTTTAAAAATCTTCATCTTTACTCATGGACATCAAGCAGGCAAACTGTTGGCATGAATGTAATGAGCATTGAGTCCTCTACCAAAATTGTGAAATTCATGGCCCCAGGGTCAGGGGTTCTAGTGCTTGGGTGGGGCTCTATAGATTATATAGTGAAAATGCATTATTTCTTTGAAAATCTTCTTCTCTGCTCCTGGGTATTAAATATACTAACTAAGCACATAGTTATAATAAGAGTGCCTCCTACAAAATTGTGCATTTTATTCAGGGGTTTGTTAGGGCGGGGCTCTATTGTTTATATAGTGAAAATGCATTTATTCTTTGAAAATCTTCTTCTCTGCTTCTGGGTATTAAATAACTATTTTGTGATGAAAGATTTCCAAAATATTAATTCTGGTGTTAGGGCGGGGCTCTATTGATTATATAGTAAAATACATTAATTCTTTTAAAATATTTTCCTTTGCTTCTGGGTTTTATGCCAATGATCCAAGTATATATATATTTATGATGAAGAAAGATACATCTAGCAAAGTGTTTTTTTTATGCCCCCAGGGTCAGAGGGGGAGGGGGGTTACATAGTCTGAAAATGAATTAATGCTTTGAAATCTGCTCTTTGGTATTAATCAACCATTTTATAATAAAATTTGCAAAATTTTGAAAAACATGTATGTGGCCCATGGGTTCATACAACTGGGTAATTGCATTTTCTCTTTGTTAAATTAAGTAAATTGAGTAAGCATGCTTTAATAATTATATAAGCAATGATGCTCTTTCAAAATTGTAAATTGTGAATTTATGGCCTCTGGTTTATTAATTGTTTGAGCACAATACTCAGGTGCAAATGTAGTTTTAAATTTTGAAGCATGCTCTTGATATGGTTTTAGTGCATATACTTTTTAAATGCTTTTTCATCTGCAGTCTCTCTGTGATTTAATTAAAGCAGGTGCAAATGAAAACTTCATCAAAACTACTTCTTTAATTAAGATCTATGCATCCATTTTGATTTTATTTAATATAAATGTGTCACAGCTGTCTCTAACAATTTTTAAAATTCTCTTTTTCCTATCTGATTGTATCAAGAAAAGTAACTTGTCTCATCAAAGTCCAGTAAAATCTTTATCATTTTAATTATAATGAAATCTGTCAAACCATCCGAAAAAGATTTTAAAATATCTGAAATGATTGGAAAAACATTTAGACTATAATAAGATTCTCATCCTAAATTCTGTTTGATTTAAGAGTTTTGTTACTTCTCTTACAGAAATCAACATTCCTACTATAGTATGCAAGTGTAAGGAACAAATCAGTGGAGCTACAGTCTCATCAGAGACTTGTGGTTTCTCTTGTATTTCATAATAAGTCTTACAAGTCATTTCAAGCTTGAAAGATTGCATGTTGATCAAGTTGCATATCAATGCAGCTTATTTCTTCTTTACAAAAGCAGATACTGCTAGAAAAATGTCATACTTGGAGAAGTTTAGATTGACATTATCAGTGTACAAATTGATTTCCATCATCAATATTGAGTATATATACATGTATTTTTTGAAGTCCGACAAGTTTGCTATTTAACAACTGTTGATGCTATCATTATGTTTACACCCATTCAGCTTTAACTTAGATACCAATCTTTAAGACAATGCCTCTTCTAGTTTTTGTTATGGTTCTTTGTTATAAATGTTTCTTTTACTTCAGTATAATCATATGTTTCCCACATTTTTCATGAGAAAATGCACAGAACACGCCTAAAGCCTAAAAAGATAAATGTTAAAGAAATATTACAGTTCGATTTTTTCAAGAATTTTCATATAATTTTTCGAGAGAAGGGTAAAATTCCAGAGACAGGATTGTATGAAATTTCTGAATGTTTGGAGGAATTGCCTCATTTCAGGTGTGGGACATACAAGGACTATAAGCCCGAGGAGGACACAGCACCACAGGGGAAGGACAAAGATCTATATAAGGTAGGGAGGGGTTCAATAGCATGGTATACATACCGTATAAGTGGAAATTTTAGCGAGATGCAAATTTAGCGATTTCTACCAAAGAACTGGTGTTTTAATTGTAGCGAGACGCAATTTTAGCGATTTTTTAAATGCTAACTAAAGAAGCTATAAGAAATGATACGCAATTGATTTTTAGTGATAATCAATTTTAGCGATGTCAGCACCCTCGCTAATAATGCCAAAATTAAATCCTTGCTAAAAATTCTACTTATACAGTACATGTTTATCATGTTTAAGAGGGTTCAGGGTCTTGATATTCCCCTGTACCCAGTGACAAAGGAAAAAATGTTTGTAGGCCTGTGATGAGCACTAAGTAAACGAGAAAAACAGAATAATGTGTAGATTTATTTTTTGTTCAGTCTTTATCATATCTTCTCATCATAAAAGTGTCCTAAATCATTTTATCCTAAAATCATATATCCAAAATAATTTTTGTAGCCATACATCTGACTTTGTGAAGCTTATTGCATGCTACCATTCCATCTACAAAGTTATACAGTTAGTTTATACATGTAGCACTCCATGATTTTACTTTATAGCTGGCTGACTTTGAGCAGCTCCTTTCACACTATGATGCCCGTCTTGCCAAGAAACTAAATGATGAATACCTCAAAGAGGAATGGGACTTTGGACAGGAAAACCTGGGAAGTAAGAAGATGTTTAAGGAGCCTCCCATTATCTGTGCTCAGGACAGAATGGACATGGTACGTACCACCTTAAATAGGTGTTCTTATAAGTATTCTTATCTCACTACTCAGACTTTGGATTTCAAGTTTTCACAAGGGGGATAACTCTTTATAAGCATGAAATTGTTTGTCTTATGGAAATTATTAATGCAAATATGTTTAAACAGCTGTGTGTTTTTCTATGAACATTTACTTATATGGCCCAGGATATTAGTTATTTATTCAGTTAATTAGAACTTGCAATATTGTTGTAAAAAACATTAGAGGAAATAAATTTAAATTCAGAACTTCATTTCTTTTCTAGGTATTTTTCTCTAACATTGAAAAATTGTGAACCATTTCAGGCTGACACTTGTTTTTGTGATGAATTTATTGAGTTTTATGAGGAGGTAAAAAGCTAGGTGCAGATATTGTATAGGTCACAGTGATATATGTAGTAGAAATTTACGCTTACACATGTTTTTGCTGTTTTCATAAGTACAAGTAATTGCTTTCTTTCTCTGTAGGCAAGAAAAACAAACAAAAAAAAATCGTTAATAAAGTATACATTCAGTTGTAGTTTTACATAAGACTTACTAACATATGCCATTTTCTTTAGAGCATATTAACAAATACTTTTTGTCCATAAAAACTTACTAAAGCACTGCTCATACTCAATTGTATTGGCATGTAATATTCACTCAGGTACATGCACATATAAATTTGATATCAAGATCACTGCATAATCACATTTTAATTATAGATTGCAATATTTATTTGTAGAATCTAGTTCATCAATTAATTCTTTTAATTGCTATCAGAAAATTTAAGTGTGTATGAAATGTGCATTGATCATATTAATTTAAAAAAATAGAAGCCCATTCACTTGAACATTAGGGGTATGTACAAGTATATTTCTCAAGAATCACTTAATCAAGACTATTATAGGGAAAAGTGATGACAAGAAGTACTAGATACTGTAAATCTTGATTAGAATTATATAAAGTACAGTTCCTATGAATGCTACTTTTGTTTATTAGAGACACGTTTTTCAGGTGAGCACTATGGCCCATGGACCTCTTGTTGACATTTTCAAAAAGTGTGATAATGGCTAGTTTGTAGATTAAAGTTCCTTGCAATATAGCAAAAGTTAAAAAAAAATTGTGTGTATTTTTATGTTTGTTTTTGATGTGTTAGTCAAATGTAGCTCCCCAACTAGTTTATTATGAAATAGTCAGTGTTTGAAACACACTGTAAAATCAGCTAGACATGCAGGGCTGATTGCTAGTGAAAGTTGTCAGCCCTGTCAAAAATGTACTAGCCCGAAAAAAAAAATAATTGTATTTTATAAGTTTGTTTTAGCAATAATGTGAATGGGGCCATCCCACTATATATTCAATCCATGACTGGTGAATTCAACCTGTTTGCTTGTTACACCTTGTAACCAGTAATACAATGTATAAGTTGATTTGAGAGAGTTTTATCAAATATATCATAACATGTATATGAATTTTAATTTATGGAAAATTTTACAAGTCCAGCCGGGCGTCAATATGTGCAAATCAGTTCGCCCATGACAAAATTTGTGCTTCTCGGGCGGTTGGGTGCACGGTTATTTCAAACACTGAAATAGTACATGTACATCCTAATCTATTTTGAGTAATTAAAGATACAATGCAAGACTCTCCTTAAAAAAACATATGCAGACAAAGTTGAATACAAAATTCTTACTCATATGATGGGGTTATTTTAAGGAATTACTGGGTATGCCAGGGCATCAATGATAGTTGGAAATGTGGGATAATTTGCCTAACAGGCGAAGGCATAAATTAATACCAGGCCTTCTTAGCTCCTGACCTTTTGCTTGCCAAAATTTACATTCCGGTTGAATAATCAAGAAATCAACTGACTTAACTTTCAAAGAATTATCACAGAGAAAACAAATGGAAATATTGTTATTTAATTTCCTCCATTTGTTTCTAGAAAAACAGTTAGAATGGGTATTTCAAAACCTTAAGTCCTATACAGTTCATATATGGGGAAATTTTTACGATGACCACATGCATTGTACATTAAAGATGAAAAGTCTCAGAAATCAGTTTTAACCCCCTGACCCAGACATTTGAAATCCTTTTCTCTATAGTGTTATATTGCTGTATGCCTTATATCTGTAGATTACAGGGTAACAACATATGGATCACGATTTATTATTGGAAATTTCTTTTGTATGAGTTTGCTATTTGCCTTGTTAAATCCCTCTTCAATCTATTAAGTACATGCACAATATGTGTTGTATAGACAAGAGCACTTCCCATCAATAGAACATTTAAATATCTCTAATGGTATTACCCACTTTTTCTTAATATTGACCAACGGTTTCCATTAATCTTAATGGTGACGAGAGTAAATATGTGCTCTCCCTTTGATGAAAGTAATGTATGGCCATTACTAAAAGATGTTAAGTAAGTAAAATGAACAATTTGAAATGGCTTATGTAAATATAATGTACCCTAAAACACTGGCTGTCAATTTCACTCCTTGGTTGAGATATATAGGGAGAAATTTGATTGTTTTTTACATTGGCAACAAGACAATGTCAGTTTCTCTCATTTCCTCAGAGTAAGTCTTATAGATTTACAGGTAGGTGATATTAATCATATTTCTTGACAGGTGTGTCAGAAAAAAAAACTGATAAATTTTGCATTTTCCGATTTTTGTATTTTCTTTGCTGTGTTTTTTTGAATGAAATATGATGCAAAATGATTTTTTTCCCAGAGATTTTAAAGATTGGTGGACATTTAAATGTCTTGTTTAATTTTGTACATGGCAATTTTTTTTTCTACAAATCTTCATGTAAAGTAATTAAGATATGGAATCGTACCTGTAATTACTAGGTTTGCTTCAACACAAACTCTTTTTTATCTAAATGTTATTTAATCCTTTTAATTCAGGCTAGAAAGCAAAGAAAACTGTACAAACATCTGAAAAAAGAGATTGGAAACTCGCAGAACATGGTGTACCGAGTGAAAGCTGGTTTTGTAAGGGATCGCCCCCTGACAGCACCAGATTTATCCATGTACCAGAGGAGCCAAAAAATAAAAGAAAAACCGGAGATGACAACCAAGTCAGCATATGACAAGATAACTCATCGGATTAACAGTGCCAGATCTCGGGGTAAGAATATTGTGTCTATTGTTGTTTCAATACCTGCTGTCTTTTTGCCACAAAATAGATAGTTTCATAACACCATATTTGAGAAAGTGGCAGATAAAGCCATCTTGTGTATCATTAATATGATAATAATTGAATGAATATATTGTTTCAATTATTAGTTTATGAAGGATATATGGCATAAATCAATTGACCATATTTTTCCATTTAAATGTTTACCTGGAGGAGTTAATAACACAATATTATTTGTTATATGTGACAGGTTCTTGCATTTCACAAAATGGATAAAATTTTTATCTAATTTGTAAATTGAAATTGATACATAGTGATATTATTACCATCACCATGGAAAGTAAAAATGGGGATTTTAATCCTGGAGTTTTAGTTTATATAATGGAAAATTCTCTGGTTTTAAAAGTGCAGCTACCTGGAAACAATCCTTATAAAATTAATAGATTTGCCGATTATTTCTCAGAAATGGATTAAATTCGAAAAGTGCTGTATAAAAAATACTTTTAAAAAGATATTAAGCCATCTTTTGTATTTTGTATCATTAATATGATAATAATTTATTTCCCTCTCCTTTTTGAATGAATATACTGTTATATTATCCAATTACACCTACTAAATTTTTAGTATGTACAGCAATGTTTTAAAGTACATATATGATATATTTTGCAATATCTCATAGAATTCAATATTGTTTAGGTACTTCCTAGTTTTCAGTAATCATATTCTATTGGCCTTTAATGTTATTCATGGTCAACAAAATATGAATTCACATATACTTAATGAATATTAATGATGATGATCCTAATTAGGATTTGATGATTTATTAAAAGTTACAAGTTCTGTACAATTTTCATGTGCTTATTCAATAAATGTATGTGAAAAAAATCCAAAGAGAAACTTGCCAAAACAATACATGCATGTCCTAGCTTTCTTTTATAAACAAGAGGCCAAGGGGCCACATCGCTCACCTGAGCAACTGGCTACATGTAGGTAAAAGCAAAAATTAGTTCAGTATTGAAAAGTTTAAATCTATTATTAAAAATGGGTTCTGGGGAGGGGAGGGGGTATTTAAATAAACTGAAAGCTACACTTCCTTAGAATGCTTTTATGACACATCATGGTTTTGTTGTTTATAGGATGAAAATTTTTATTGATATAGCTTTTGTATTCATTTGTCAACTTTATGGCTCCTCTGTTCTCCTGAATTTCAAATCTATGTTACCTTTTTTTATGCTTTCAAATTGATGATCAATATCATGATGGCTTTGTAAAGAATTTTAACGATTTTTACCATGAATTTCTATGTAAAATTTGATCATCCATTGTGGCCACACCCTTGCCCAAGGGATCATGATTTGAACAAATTTGAATCTTCCCTTTTAGAAGATGCTTCTGCATGAGTTTCATCTTTCATGGCCCAGTGAATCTTGAGAAGATTTTGTCTATTTATTCCTATGTTGAACTTTGTTCACCCATTGTGGCCCCACCCTACTCCCGGGGGTCATGATTTGAACAAACTTGAATCTTCACTACCTGAGGATGATTCAACATGAGTTTCATCTTTCCTGGCAATGTGGTTCTGGAGAAAATAATTTTAAAGATTTTTCCTATGTATTCTTATGTTGAACTTTGATACCCCCTTGTGGCCCTACCCTACTTAAAATCTACACTACCTGAGGATGATTCAACATGAGTTTCATCTTTTTTGGTCCAGTGGTTCTGGAGAAGAAGATTTTTAAAGATTTTTCCTATCTAATCCTATGTTGAACTTTGATACCCTATTGTGGCCCCACCCTACCCCCGGGGGTCATGATTTGAACAAATTTGAATCTACACTACCTGAGGATGCTTCCACATGAGTTTCATCTTTCATGGCCCAGTGAATTTGTTTGTTTGAAATTGGCCCAGTGGTTCTTGAGGAGAAGATGAAAATGTGAAAAGTTAACGATGACAACAACAACTACAATGACAACGACTACAACAGACAATGGACAAATTTTGATCAGAAAAGCTCACTTGAGCCTTTGGCTCAGGTGAGCTAAAAAGGGGGGGGGGTGAAATAATAAATGGATTTGTTGATACATGTGATGTATTTGAAAGAACTTTGCTATTGATTGTAAGGTTATTCTGTGTTTTTAGCCGGCGGTGAGGACAGCCCCCTGTGTGACACTTCAGATCGTCCCCAGTACGTCCGACCCCCAGAGAAAACAGTCACACCCATTGTCTCTGAGGAGGAAATTCTGGAGACTCAACTCAAGAAAGACAACCTGGTGTTTGATATAGAAACTGTGGTATGTGTAGAAGATTATTCCTGAAAAGTTATGTAAATAGACTCCTTGAAGTAAGTAAGTTAGAATAGCAAGACAAATACACAATTAATGCAATGCAAAGGGCAGTAACGCTTACATCAAAATATTGAAGATATCGATTGTATGTTTGAAATTGAAGTTTATAGAGTTTATAGTTATTTTTAAAATATATGTTTAACCTGTAAATAACTGACATTATTCTTTCTCAGGAAAAAAGACATAGACTTCAAATGGAACAGACACTGGATTTCTACATCCCTGGCATCATGGAGAAAATAGCTAAGAAAGAAGGTAATTAACATTATAAGCTGAAAATTTTAACTGTGCAAGGTTTCCTGATTTTTACTTGTACTCTCTCTAAATGTGAATATTCTGTTGCAGCTGAGGAGTGTCAGGTGGTTGTGGAGGATAAACCCAGCAGTCCTCGGAGGAAAACACCCAGTGAGGAGACCATCAACCACTTAGCTTACCCAGAATCCCACAGTAATCAGTGTCACTCAAAGGCTTGTGATGCAAGGTCAGTAGAAACTAGCTACTCCAGAGACTTGAAATATTTTCTTGATGAAATTCGTCACAGTCATTACTGTCAAATACAGTTTTAAGATTACATATGTTTTTTCGGTTGGTTAGGTTCATCTTTGCTAGCCAAGGGTTTTGGTCCACTTTATTCACTGTGGGGAGCAGAGTGGACTGAAAACCCTTAATTAGTAAAGATGTGCAACTAGGGTAATCCTTGTAGAAAAAGAAAGCTAAAAAGATTTTTTTCTATGTTAGGTATCGTGGATGGCATGAGGTGCAAACCAAGAAAGGAGGACATTTTATTCTAACTTCCCCAACATTTGAGAATTCTTACCAAGGCAGGCTTCAGAAAAAATTACACTTGAGGACAAAAGTGCAAGCCAAGAAAGTCACCTCTGAATTTGCTTATCGATACACCAAATCAAGTGAAGTTAAAAAGAGAGCTCAGATTACGGCCAGCCGACCTAACACTGCCCCTGCTGTCATGCAGAATCCAGTTGAAGAAGAAGAGGAACAAGAGGAAATCTCTGAAGAGAAGGACCTCTATCACACAGAATCCATACATACTGTTGACACAGGGTACGAATCTTGTGATGACAAAAGTCTTCCCAGTTCCAAGGCTAGTCTGACTCCTTCACAAGCTTGGGGTAGTGAAGTTGACAGTATTGTTTCTAAGAGTCCTATCGAACCCCACCATCCACCTGAGGCTGAAAGTGAAGAAATGTCTGTCACCTCCAGGAGCACTGAAGATTATGACATGATTCAGCTAAAACCACATGATAGAGACCAGTCTTCACCTACCAGAAAGGTCCATTTAGATACAAGTGAGAGAGCTAGCAGTGTCCCATTAGATAGTGCTAAAATTGTAATAGTGCCAAAGAAAGAGAAAATTTCAATAGACTCTGCACCCATTCCACAAATGCAGCATTCAAAGCCAAAAGTGGTGGCTGTAGGAGGAATAGGCAAGATATCCCTGCTGGAGAGTATTTCTGAACTTAAACAGTGGGAGGAAGAGACGGAAGAAAGAAAAGACTTAGATTCCACCAGACCAGAGAGCATGCCCAATCCCAGTCTCCAGGAGGATCCAGGACACAAAAAACTGGTGGAGGGTGAGGAGAAAAGCCTGGAAGATAACCTCAATCTGCTAAGTCGCAGGTTGAGTGCTGATGGGGGAAAAGACAGTAAGAGAAACTCGAGAGCAAGCAATGAGATGCCAGCCATGTCTATAGAAGAAAAGATCGAAAGGGAAAAACAAGCCAGAATAAAGAAACAGAAGAGACTACAAGGCTCAAACCTGGAGAAAATGGGAGTGACTGTATTTTCCAGGAAAACTAGTCTGAAATCTGATTCCACACAACATACCACATCCACTTCTTCTGTGGAATCCTCAGACCCCCAGAACAGCCAATCAAATCTCAACCCAGATGTACAAAGGAAAAATCAATCCAAAGGTGGAGACAACATTGACTCTCCAACTCCTAGAAGTCATAGACCTAGCTTTGGATGTAGAAACCATTCCGTAACAGCCAATACATTCGCCAAAGAAAAGAGCACCAGACCTTGTTCAAATTCATCAAATCCTACCGAAAAAGATAAAAACAATAAAAACTCTAGTCTGCAACAGATTTACAAGAAATCTGTACGTAACAATGTTACAACCACAACAGACTTTGAGAAAGAAAACATCAATGTAAAAGATTCCAAGATCAGCACCGGACATCATGACAAGAGAGCGTCAGTTAGCAGGGGACAGAACTGTGGCAAGGGAAAGTATGATAGATTGCTCAAGAGACTAGAGGGTAGTATATCAGAGGTGTTTGCTAATAAGCTGGCTGCAGCTCGTCCAAAAGTCAAGTAGAGCTCTTGCTGCATCAGTACTCAAAAAAAGTCAAGTAAAGCCCTTACATTGGTACTAAAAGGGTTTATCGAATACCGGTAAGCTAGTAACAGCTCCTTGTGCCTATGCACTCAGAGGGATCAACCAATGAGCTGGTACCTGCTCATCCAAAAGTCATCTACTAGAAGCAGAAGGTCAAACGGTTAAGTCATAGTGCACCAGTACTAAATCGTAGTGCATCAGTATTCATGGAGATCATAACTTAGTGCTTGTTTGTATACATAACTGTCACATAATTTATGAATTCTTGGAGTTCAAACCTGTTTTGTATCTGATATTCATGTTTCAAAGACTTAATTTTTCCTTGTGTTCTTCAATCCATGCACAGGTGCAGAGTTTTCTTAATGTGACTGAAATTCCCAGATTTTATTGTTACAAATTTATGTATTTTTCATGTGATTTTAAAATTATTCATTTTTTTTTTATTGTATCAAAGCATACAATGTGCAGTGATATAAAGGAAAATGAAATCTTTTATTGAAAAAAATTAAGTCAACTCTTAATGGTAGCTATCATGTTTTTTAACATTTTTTTTAGATAATCATAGCTACATCAAATGTAAGATTTATTGCATTATTTGGAATATATATTTTCCTTAATATTGATGAGAAATAATTTCTGCATGAAATCAAGAGAAAAGAAGCTAGTGTTTTTGTGTCTTTTGTACTGAAAGTTGTTGCTCAAATAACTAAATTGTCTTGTGATATTTCTATGTGGTGCTAATTAAAACTCTAAATGATTCGTATTTTTCTATATTTATTTATTGTAGTGCATTCTTCTTGTAAACTTTCAGAGTTTAACCTGAATACAGATTTAGATTTTTCAGAAAATACATGCTTTCTTTTGGCATCTCATCCTTAGAAGTAAAATTATTGAAAACATTGTGCAATATTTCAACTATTTGAAGGTTTTCAAAGATTTAAGGAATGGTTTTAATTTGCAGTGTATTAATTTCCTACCTTGGCCTTTGCTTATTTAACCTCAAAATCAATAAGGGTCATTTTAAGGCCATAGAGAGTTATGAAATTTCACTGCAAATGCTTAAAGGATGTTTCGAGATCTTATCTTCTGGAAAAGAATATGTGTCACACTCAGAAAGAATGATCATGGTCAGACAAACCCAAATTCATATTTTCCACTTTCAGTGAAAACAGAGAACAGAATAAATCCAACATTTCACACACAATTCATATGTTTTATTGGTAATCAGCCTTTTTTTTAACAAGTTAGATGAGTAGGAATGTTTTATTGTATACTTACAATTGATCTCCAACACAATACCTTAAACACTGCACACCTTATAAAATTAACAACAAAAAAATCAACAAAAAGCTATCAATAACACCTGTACTAATGTTTATAGTTATATAACTCAAGTACTATGCATTAAGTTATAAAATATATGTACTGTTAGTTTATAAACCTGAGTATGTTGAGCAAATTGTATAACAAAAAATATTTTACTTAAGTCTAAGATTCAAATTCCTCCATTAAAACAATTTGAAAATAATCTTGGAAAAAACAATCATACACATGTAAATATTTTATGGTTCAATGGAAATAAACTGACGTGTGCAAATATTTCAAATACACAATTTCTGGACCAAGAATTGCAGTGAAAAGCTTTATCAGTACTGACTGTAAATTTTTACTTTTACGGTTTTAAATGAAGATAAATCTATAATGTTTACATTGTAATATGTAGAAAATAAATTTCCTTTTAAGGATAATGAACCTTCTTAAAGAACTAATGTACTTAAGGAAAATGCACTATCAACATTTATTATTTAATACGGCCAATTACATTAAGCTTTTATATTAGATTTAAGGAATAATATATACACTGTAATAAACAATTAATTTTAGGAGAATTATAATTTAAAGTAATAAACAATTTAGGAGAATTATGGAATGTTGCTCAAAATATAAACATTAAAATTCATCAAATCAAATATGATAAATACAGTCAAACATTGATATATCAAACTTTATAAGACCAAGAAAAAAAAACTCCAAGATACCCAAGGAAATTTAGACACAAAGGCTCAAATATATACTACAAAAATAATGGCTGAGACTTGCAAATGCAACTCACTTCAACATATCTTTGGTATTCAAGATATGGAAGTTCAACTGTATATACATAAACTTAACAAGGAATGTACTTTGCATAAATAATTAAAAAAACATATTGCCTGAATACAAAAAGATGATATGAAAATAAAGTTGAGATTCATAGAGAATACATCACAAAATAACAATCTCATGGGTTGTAATATACATGTAATTACTTAAATATGTACCTTCTAAATAACCAAAATTCCCTCAAAGAAATTAAATGTATAATGGAAAGGTAGATGTATATACTGTAGACGTACTTTTTTCCAGGGGGTCATAATTCCGCGGAATCTCAATTTCCATTTAATCCGCGGGTTGAAAATTACGCGGATTTTTCAGACTTTCTCTATATGCCTTGCATTTATAATAAGTACACTTGGACAAATTTCCGCGGAAAATTTGTGAGCACGTACATAGCGTAAATTAATACCACGCGGAAAAAAAGTACTTCTACAGTAACTGAAAGCACTTTTTTTATTTCCATCAATGGCACACTGAATCTTGGTCTGCATGAACAAAAATTCATCCAAGCTTTAAAGGAAAGTTTCATTCAAACAATAAAAAAAACACTGCTCTACTTTTAAATACATATTTTACAATGGAATGTTAATTGTATAAACTTAAATATGAAATGAGAATATAAACTGGTAAACCTTGCAAAATATGGAATGTTAAATACCAATACAATTTGGTATTAAGCTAAATATCTTTCAAAAATTTTAATTAACATTAAAAAATAGAAAATTAAATACACATTGTAATTGAATCTTGAAATACCCACAAAAAAATCAAGTGACATTTTCTTCTAATCAAAATTAAGTATAGTTACATAATTTAAAAAAAAATCATATATACACTGTACTACATGTATGTAAAATGAGATTCAGGTTTGAGGGGGTTAAAATTAAAGTATAAATGTATGAAAATTGTTTGAGATTCTTTGCAGAGATTCTGATAAAGTGTATAAACTTATTTTTCACAGTTCTTTTGTTGTTTAAAGTATATACTCAAAATAAAGAGACTATGTCTTTTCCCAAATCTAAACAAATTGCTGATATACACAAAACAAAACAAATGTACAAATAATGGCTAATCTTGTAGTAGTGGCTGCCTTCAAGCAATGACCTTGAGCTTCCGACCTATTTCTATAAATGCGTCTACAGCACGATCTACATCGGCTTTAGAGTGGGCAGCTGACAGCTGGACTCTTATACGGGCCTTGCCTACAAAAACAACATCTTTGTGTTAAATATTACATTTTAAAATAATCTTTTGTTTCCATATTCCAAATGCCAAGTTTTTAAAATTAAAATGACAGTAAAACACATTTATAACCCATGCCAGGGACAGACTACTTTGCTTCATTACAAGCATAATTCGTTTTATCTGTTAAGTTTATATTTTAAAGTCAGGGGAAGGAAAATCACTTCGCGTAAATTCATTGTAAGCATGTTCACTATAAGTGTGTTTTACTGTATTCCCTAGAATACTTAGTATACTACACATTGGAAAGCTTACCTTTGGGCACCACAGGGTAGCTGAAGCCAATCACATAGATCCCTCTCTCTGAAAATTAGTTTACAATAGTAGTCAACTCAATGCAAAATAAACAAATGAAAAAATTAAGTGAGACAAAAAATTAATACAATCTTGAAAATACCTAGCATTTCATCAGCAAAGATGTTGGCAAGTCGTGCATCTCCTAGCATCACTGGACAGATAGGATGCTCTGGATCGCCCTGTAATACAAGCATACTGGTATAACATCAGTCATTAATACTTCTCAAATTTTGTTTTTATGTGTCAACAACCTTTAAGTACATGTATTTGGAGTAAAATTTAAACTGAATTATGTTTTGAGCTCGCTTATTTGTCAAAAATTTATATTAGACACTAATAATATAGAATGCTTACATGGTGTATTAACCTTTTTGAATAATTTTCCATATTTCCTGCACTTGCTAAACTTGGTCATCAATATTTCAATTTTTTTCTAACTATCATTTGACAATCCAATTTAGATAAATGATTTATTTCTAAAAAGCAAACTTACGGAGAGATTGAATCCTGCCTCTGACATACGTGATCGGAATCGTTTTGTGTTGCTTAGCACCTGCTGTGGAAGATCTGTGTTACTGGTGATTAAGTCGATGGCCTGAAACAGAACAATATACATTTAAACTTAAACTGTATATTTCTCTTCTGAGTATTAACAAATCTCTGATGAGAAATAATTCTGCTGTTTTATATTCATGATTTGGGAAAATTAATGTACAAGTATTCCCGACTTCCAAACATAATTTTACTAGTATTTTACAGAATTATCTTAATAAAATTACATTAACAGAATTTTTTTACTCATATTACATTTACAGAATTATCTTACCAGTATTACTAAGTATAACATTTACAGAATTTTTTTTACTAGTATTACATTTACAGAATTTATATACTAGTATTACATTTGCATAATTATTTTACAAGTCATTGCATTAACAGAATTATTTTACTCGTATTACATTCACAGAATCAGTTTACTAGTATTACATATACAGAATTGTTTTACTAGCATTACATTTAAAGATCTTTCTAACTAGTATTGCATTTACAGAATTTTCTTGCTAATATTGGATTTACAGAATTATCTTACAAATGTTACATTTACAGAATTTTCCTTCAAGTATTGTATTTACAAAATTTTCCTTCAAGTATTATATTTACAGAATTTTTTCAATAGCATTGCATTTGCATAATTATTTATTTCCTATTGAGTATACAACATTTTCCTTTTAGTATTACATTTACAGAATTATTCTTCAAATACCGGTATTACATTTACAGAATTATATTACTAGAATTACATTTTCAAAATTTCCCTTCAAATATTACATTTACAGATTTTCCCCTCTAAAATTACATTTACAGAATACAGAATAACCTTTCCAGTATTACATTTTCAGAATTATCTGCGTGTATAATGTTTAATATCTACAGAATTATCTATCTTGAGCATTTATATAAGCTGAACTAAAATGATGCAGAGAATATTACGTATTTTTTTAGTAGTCTACTTGTTAAAGATACAGAATGGAACAGAAGGTGGAAATTGAAAAAATACAATACCCTGGTGCTAATCATTTGTCAAATGATTCGAAATATACCAAATCATACCAAATAAGCATTATATAAATTATTCAATTAATAAAACAATAGTGCGTGTACACTATTGGGAAATCAATCTAATTCCTTCTCTTTAACCTCTCCTGGCTCTCCAGTACTTTGTTAATCATTTAAGGTACAAAGACAACATACATTGACTCATTATCTATTATTTACAACTCTACCTGGTCATTAAAAACTTTGAGAGTACTTTTATTATAATACAAATCGCTAAAAATTCTTGTATAATTCTCTTATTAGTTTCCTTTTATTCAACTGACCTTTCAAATAATTATATTTATGTACTTTTAGTAATTTATTATTACAGATCTTATTTAAGCGATCCAAAATTTTAAAACTCTGGAAAATACATCATTGCTTTTTACAATTTTATATTCCTAGACACCCAGGAGTAGAGATGAAGATTATTAATGAAAACTATAATGCTTTAATGAAGGCCCATCTTCACTCTTTAGCATGGCCTTTATTCAACGTCGTATAATTTACGTACATTGCGAACGCTATTGGTAAAAATTTCGGTTGAACGTTTCACTGGAATCTAACGTCAGGTGCCTGTGCCAAAATCGTGAAAGATTTAACACGTTGAAGGATTTTTTTTTTTAGATGAAATATGTACGAGGTTCGTGAACGATGTCAATCTTCGTTATATTACTCACTAGAAATTTACAAGCACAGTATAATATGTAAAAATATTTGTTTTGTGTGAAGTTTCATTCCATTCGATTTAATAGAAATCAATTAACTTCATTTTAAAATCAACATGTTTTGTACCCGCGGAGCTCACTAAACGGCAATGTAACGTAAAAACATATAGCGTCAAGAATTTCTAAAAAGTACTATCCCCACAGATTTCACTCAGTATAATCCAACGCCCACTCATGATTTTTTTTTTTCTAATACTTGACATTTATTATATTTATTTATTTATAATTTCCTTTGTTAAGATTTTAATTTCTTTTATTACTCAACTCTCTTTTTACAGTATAAGCCACTCTGAAGCGCCTGTCTTTCCTTGATGCTCCAACTTTTTATAGTTTTTGTTAAGATTTTACAGTTAAACCGTTTCTTCAGATCACAGATTGTCCTAATCCGATACGAAGTCTCTGTCACTCAAATACTGCCTGTACTTTTTGTACACACACGCACAACTCGCTTTTGGCATTTCTTTTTATTCCTCCAACATTTTTAGAGTTTATTCGGGATTTTTCCTGAGTAAAACACTAAACTGCATCATCATCGGCTGCTGCTTGACGTTTTAAAACGTCATCGTTTTTGTCGTAATCAAAGAGGACTATCTATCTTCTCAAGCTGATTTCTTTTCAACAAAGCAAAATATTAAGCCATAATTTGGAATATGAATCGATGTAACAATTCTTAATTTGAATTTTTAAGTTGTTTTTCGTTTATGCTCAATTTTACAGAGAATATGACTACAGACATTATTTAATGCATTGTTTGTAACTTACTAAATTTTGACCTGCTCCGCGATCCGATTTTTGCATTTTAAAAATCTGGATAAGTTTTGAATTAATCGTGGTATTTTATACAAATTAATACAAACCATTTGGATTTTTTATATGAAATATTTCACCAAATTTGGATAACATATTACGTCAAATAAAAAAAAATATGGCAGTAGTCCACGAACTTTTCGATCAACCCTCTTATTATTCGCGCGAAATAATTCAATCCAAAATAAAATTAATTTATTTTATTTTCAAAATAATGATAAGGGTTGAATATTTTGAAAATAAAATAAATTTATTTTGAGCCCGTTTCAATATTTCACGGTATCAAAATATGATTTTGATAATTTTTTTTCCCATAAACTTTGATGTCATTATTTTCAACATGTATTGTTTAAACATGCTGTCTGAACCATAGAATGTTCTAGACGAAGTTGGCCACAAAATTTTTACTATATAAGCCCTGGCTGACGGGACTTAATCAGAATTGTTACTAATTAGAATTGTTAATTAGATTTAGTAAAAAAAAGGATTATACTATATTGGAATGGATCAGAGTTCTTCTGAAGAGTGAAATCCAGCCTCTAAAATTTATCAGTAAGTTGTTAATTGTAGGCCTTAACAGATGAAAAAAAACTTGAATCAGATTTTTAAAAAACGGTCAATTTTCCTAAGCGCAATTTGAGACAAAATTTGCAAGAAAAACTGTAACATCTATGGTCTTTTATAAACGGTTCTGGCTTAAGGCGAATTTTTAAAATAAAATTCTGAAGCCTTGCCTAAGTACTATCGCATGCAGCTCTCCTTGCCCGTAAGGAATTTTAGGAGTCATGTTAAATTGTGCCACCATAAAATCATGCCACCTTTATAAAATGAATCACCTAGAATTTGTTTTCAGTTAAATGCGTTTTTTCATAGGCCATCTCTCGTATTTCTTAATGCTGAATTAAAATTAAACATATTCATGTTATAATAAATGTGACAATCGATGCGCATCGTGTTAATAAGATCGAAATATCGGGGGGATGGGGGGCGGGGAGAAATACATCGAAAACTTCATTGAAATTTAACAGCGTAAATTTTATTGAAAAAAATAATGTTCATATAAAAAGTGAAAAAAAAGGAAATGTTTCAGTACATTGTAGTTTTCTTCTTTGAATAGCAACCACTGAAAGTACACTGACAAGATCAATATAGAGCACGCAATGTTTCGAAATCTAGATTCATTGCAAACATGTAATATAATATATTATTGTACATTATATAAAGTTTCATTATTTTTTTTACTTATGCCTAATGTATCCACACCATGAACTACGATGTGATACATTTTTATAGGTATGTTACGTAAACATTGCTATAAATAGTACAAGTATTCATAACACTGTATTTTTGAGAAAAAAATATAAAGATTAGTTTCTGTTAAAAAAATTTGAAAAAAATTACAAAAAGAAAACATGACAACACGAGTTTTGGACATCACGTGTATTCCTGGAGGCGTGATGCGCTTAATATAATGACGATAATTAACATCTCATTTTCTGTGGTTTTCTGTCAAGAGTCGTCAACTTAAGCATTGTTTAATTTTTCTAAAATGCATCTTTTCAAACGAATGAGTTATTAGTAATGACAATCTATTAAGATCGGCATGTAGTATCAATATTTTGTCTCATTCACTTCTTGGATAAACCCCCTTTGGCCATGGGAGGGGGGAGGTCTTTTTTTGGGAGGGAAAGGGGCAGGAATTATTAAAACATGCCTTCTTTAAACAACAAAGTTACGGATCTTTCATGCATTTTCATTTGTTTTCAAATTTTCAATACTGAATGATGACGACTGACACATGAAAAAAATTCTATAAACGAATCAACGACCCCCCCCCCCCCCCCAACGCAATCTTTTTTTCTCTCTCTCCGCCAGAAAAATAATGTGATGATGAAAAGAAATAAATATGAATATTAATCTATTATAAATTACTCTTTTTAAACATTAGATTTATGCACCACGTTTACGGGGACACGTTTACCGACTACACGTGTCCACAGCTTTCTAACATGATCAATCATAAACGTAAAACCTGCGTAACTGCGTAAAAGGGCTTCAAAATTTAACTTTATTGCTTTCTTTTTCTAAATACTTCTATTTAAATGTTAGTTAAGGTCCAATGTACTGTGAGAGAATTATATATCTACTTTTAAACATGGCCAATGAAATTCCCGGGGCGTAATATACCTTTGAAACTGCGCAATAGAAAAAATTCATATAGTTATTACAGCTCAGTGCTAAATTAAGATTTTTTTTTATTTCCGTAAAATGTGTATTTCTGTACAATGTGTGTACTTAATGAGTGCAACAGCACTAAAATCAAAAAATGTAATTGCCACGTTCAGCAACTTAATGAATATGATTAATTAAATCTTTCCGCAAGTCTGATCTACAAAGCGATGGGACGAATTCTTTGCGCATTTCGAAACTGGTTTACATCACATAAAGTTTGGGATATCTATTTGTACTGAAGAACAATGATTCTTGAATTCATAAAGGTCAATGAACTTTTAAAATGGTCCATTGCATCTACCTGTATAACTGAAAATTAAGCGCAAATTCCATTTCAGAAAAAAATGCATCTTTTTAATATACAATTACTTTTAAAATAAAGAAATAACAATGTTTAGAGCTTTTTAAAATCATTTTGAAAGGCATTTGTTCCTTTCTGCTACTGAAATGAAGGAAAAATAAAATTTTATAAGAGTTTTCTCTTCAAAATTCCAACTAACACCTCAAAATATTTCCTGCATGAATTCAAAAAAAGGCACGTTTAATAAAGATTATGAAGCTACGATATAACCATTACTTATAATGTACATGCCCCCCACCCTGGTTCTGCCTTATTTTTCTCCATTAAACTTACAATGATTTCCCATTTTGAATTTGCAATGACATATTAATGTTAAAGGATTAATGATTTTTCAAGATTTGCCCATTTTAAATTAGCAAACTCTGGTCGTGGACAAAATGTGTGAAAATAAAAGGAAGCCAAAATTTCCCTGTACAGGAGCTGAAAAGCATTTTACCTACATTAATGTTAAGATAATAAAATACTTCTAATTGTACCTCCTTGCAGGTGTGTCTTTGCATGAGAAAAAGATAAGACAAAGGAAACAAACAAAATGGAGTATTTTATTCCAAAATTAGATATTTATATACATCTGCTCTAGTATTTTTAACCTATCTGTGAAAACGTTTATTTACCTATAAATGTCAATACACAAGCTATATCACCTTAAAATACACTTATTTACCTTAGTGTCATTACAAACTATATTTATCCCACTGTCAATACAAACTATATTTACTTTACTGTCAATACAAGCTATATTTACTTCACTGTCAATACAAGCTATATTTACCCCACTGTCAATACAAACTATATTTACTTTACTGTCAATACAAGCTATATTTACTTTACTGTCAATACAAGCTATATTTACTTCACTGTCAATACAAACTATATTTACTTAACTGTCAATACAAGCTATATTTACCCCACTGTCAATACAAACTATATTTACTTTACTGTCAATACAAGCTATATTTATCTTACTGTCATTACAAGCTATGTTTATCTTAATGTCAATATAAGTTATATTTATCTTACTGTCATTACAAGCTATACTTACCATACTGTCAATACAAGCTATATTTACCTTACTGACACTACAAGCTATTAACCTTACTGTCAATACAAGCTATATTTACTTTACTGTCAATACAAAGTAAATTTACCATACTGCCAATACCAGCTTTTTTACCTTGCTGTCAATACAAGCTATATTTACTTTACTGTCAATACAAGCTATATTTATCTTACTGTCAATACAAAGTTAATTTACCTTACTGCCAATACAAGCCTTTTTTACCCTACTGTCAGTGAAAGCTATATTTACCTTACTAGCACAAGCAACAACTGGTGGAGGTAGGGCATTGGAGAACAAATAAGGTCGTGACCTCTGACGTAACAGTGAAGTCAGTTCCTTAGGTCCAGCAGTGTATCCACCTAGTACACACAATAAGACAGACTTAAATTAACAATATGCAACTTTATTATGATTAAAAAACCCTTAGTGTTGAATACTGTGAAATCACTAATTTTCATTGGGGTTTAATTTATACTGAAAGGAAAAAGAAACGCATCATAAACTTTTGAATAAAATTAAAACTTTTATTTCCAATATTGTTATCAAACATTTTAATTCAACACTTTTAAACAACAAGTAACCGAAATCTTGTGTGACTTTGACTGACAATTCCTCAGTTATTGAAATTGATATGTCGATACCCCCCAAAACTGAAATAAAAATTATCATCATCTCCCTTGTGCATAAGTAACAGCCTTGATTTTCTTGTGCATTAAGTTCACCAGAGCATTTATCTTTCTCAAGGATTATCATTCAAGCCTTCCGACGGTTGTCTTAATGGTTGAATGAGAGTAGCTGTATTATTCCAAAGCCAACAAATCCCCAGCCCAATGAATCCCACGAATTTCCGATTTAGGTAAGAATTTACAGAATCTAGCTGATTTGGTACACGTGAATGTTTGTAAGGAAGTATCGACAAACACTGGCTACATTTTCTCAGCGTGAACATGCTAAAAACAATACGCATACGGCGCGTACGTGCGCGTGTGAGAGTAAAATCGACTTAAAGTGGCCAAGCTTGCATACCAAATTAGAGCAGAGAGTTTCTGTCAGTATTAGGGTGAAAATATGAGTAGGATTGCCTGCCGTAAAAATATCGGTTTCAGTGATAATGACTTGACAATAACCAAGGTAACATGATTAAAAGCCAAATCTTGATGTGACGTTGTTACACGCCAACGTCACAGTCATGGTTGGTTGGAAACCTTTTAAGTTACTCTCTGACAACCGAAAAAAACTTTTTGGACTGAAAAGTTAAGAACACACTGCACAGCAACATGATGTTGCCTTTTTATTCACTTATGCAATTCAATTACTTGACCCAATGTTACTTCTGTCAGCCATACCATGATTGCAAGAAATTTATACTGACTCCAAATATCGGAAAACGATGTCTATAACTCTAATGCATCTCTTGGCACTACAAAATGTGATCACAAAATTGTCATCATCAAAATGCACGTGTATTTGGCTTTTTATCACTTCCCCTACGTGACACCATACATTTCAAGGTTGAGTAATTTTGACCAGCGATATTAGTGCACAGTAACCAAAATACACATCTGACCAACTTTCATAATTTTCGGCCACATAGTTAAATATTTTTCGCTATTATGCTATTATGCGTTTCTTTTTCCTTTCAGTATACTTGTTTTTCAAGGTATGGAGAGACACAAAAATTTATAACCACCATGAAATGTAAAATTTTATATGCATTACTACTAAACATTTTCCAAACACGAAATAAAATCCCCACCAACCAATTTTTTTTCCCTCAAACCTCTAGAATTTTACAACACGAAAAATGTGATGTTACAATAATTGCTACTTACCAGCAGCTCCCCCTAGAGCTTTACCCAGGGTGGAGTTTATGATGTCTATTCTATCACTGACCCCAAAATGCTCATCAGTACCTCTGTAGAAAAAAAAAACAATCACTCATATATTGGAGTAACTTAAAAATAGGAAAGCTATTCATTCCATCTTATAATCAGATATATATCACATCATTTAATTTGAATACTGTAAAATCACGTTTTTTCATGGGGTCAAATTTTCTAGGTTTGAGGAAAAAAAAATTGTTTTGTGGGGATTTGAATCTGATGTTGGAAAATTTTCAGTAGTAATGTAGATGAATTTTACATTTGGTGGTCATAGATATATGGGTCTCTCCATTCCTCGAAAACAACAAAAATTAAACCCCCACAAAAATTAGTGATTTTACAGTATGTTAATACAGGTCCAATACTCCAAGGAAATTCTTGGTATGATTGAAGTAGCTTGATTCAATAAATGGATTTTTTTTTTCCATTAAGATGTAAAAAATTATTTCCTCTCCCATTTTGTTTACCTCCCAGTAGGTCCAAAAAATCCTGTCCCATGGCACTCATCAATAAACACCATAGCATTATACTTATCAGCCAGGTTACATATATCCCTGTAAGAAAAAAGTAAATTAGTTCTTAAAGAACTGGATTATGTATTTTCAATGCACGTTGAAAGATAAATTATGGACATACATATATCGGGTAAAGAAAAGTTTGTTCCTTTTTGCTTGTATTTAATTGTTTCATATCTTTTAGTTTTAAATAAATTATGTAATTTTTAATGATCTAAAATTAGCTTCATCATGCATCAATATATTAGTTGCTTGCATGGTTCAGTGGTTAGAGAGTTTGGTTGAGAAATATTTTAGCTACAACATTAAACAAGTAACTAAACCAAAGTTCTAACATTTCATTCCTTTTAGTTCGAATAGTATTTCTAAAGTTTATTTCAAAGATAATTGCTGTCAGAATGTTTACCAACATCGTATCTTATTTAAATTTACAAAATATTCCAATACTCAAACTCGGAAAGCACATTTCAGAGTGTTAATACAGCACATAACACTTACGGCAGTGGAGCTACATTTCCATCCATGCTGAACACACCGTCAGTGGCTATTAACTTCTTCTTAGAGTCTTTAGCAGCAATTAGCTGATCCTCCAAATCTACAGTAAAATCAAAATGAATAATTTATTTATAAAAATCAATGCCTTCCACTACCACAGAGAATTCATTCGATCTAAACTCAGCATTTGTCATTTGTCTCAGATAATACATGTATCTCCCTGACTTAAGCTTCAAGAAATTGCAAAATAGCAATTAAAATTACATATCTTAAAACTCCTCAAATTTTTTTTAAAGTTATCAAGCAAGAACTTAATATTGTAGTTTTCTGGTAGCTATGGAGAGATACAAAGTTTTAAAATTATGGACAGAGCAAATGAGAATGTCCTTGTATTTTCATTTTAGCTACATATGATTGATTAAAGAAACATGGAAACACACTCTTCTGGGGGGCTACAACAGTAAGCTTGTGTTGCTTGACCTGAACAGTTTTGTATTGCTTGGCAGTAGAACTTGTATTTACTTGGCCTCAACAGTAGAGCTTGTATCGCTTTGCCTCTAGAGTGAGTTTGTATTGCTAGGTCTCAAGAGTAAGTTTGTATTGCTTGAGGTTATAAGAAAGCTTATATTGCTTGGCCTCAACAATAGGGCTTGTATTGCTTGGCCTCAACAGTAGGGCTTGTATTGCTTGGCCTCAACAGTAGAGCTTGTATTGCTTGGCCTCAACAGTAGGGCTTGTATTGCTTGGCCTCAACAGTAGGGCTTTTTTGCTTGGCCTCAACAGTGGAGCTTGTTTCGCCTGAAAACAAATTGACACAGACAAAACACTACCAATCTATATGCTTGTGGTATTGAAAAAGTTTAGAGCTTGAATAGAAAACAGATATAAATGATCCACAATTAAACTCAGCCATCTGCATGGATTTTGAATTATTTCTAAACTGTGCCCACTGCTGGGTAAAAAAGATTTGGACAAAATGGGTATCGCCAGGAATACAATTTTTAAATTAAATTTCAATAAATCCTTGTCCCATTTTCAATTTATATGACACTTTATTGATCATACCAGCTTGATTTCAGATTGAAACTTTCAATTTGATTGGACTGGTGATGTTTCTAAGTTAATGCTTTAAAAATTGATTTCACATTAATGGATAAAATGCAAATGCATGAAAATTTGCATGAACATTTAATCCCTTCTTTAACACATTGTATAAAAGTAAATAGAGAGATGTCAATAAGGCCAAAAATTAGCTTCCTTGTTGATGTTGCATAACTGACAACAGTAAAGATTTACAATTATATATAAAAATGCACTTTGAAAAACACAAATTCCTAATGAATTAAAGGCCAAATGCAAGAAATTCTTGATTTCTTGTTATAAGCTACTTCAATACATGAAGCTAGTATCTAATAAATATAAAATTTCAATTGACATAGTCAGATCTAGATTCAGGAAGCAGTTGGGGTTTCCTAGATGGATACTAAGTATTTTTAAGATCAAATGGATTAGTCTGCTTTTCTATTATTGCTCTGTTGCAGCATCAGGGTTTGTGAAATGAATTATTTTGCCTAAATTTGAATTAATATCTATGAAAATAAACCAGATGAAACACATTTCAAATAATTACAAAGTTTGATGTTTGGGTATAATTATTCCACAGCAGTTAAACCTTTGTTTTCGGGAAGCGTCTCCAAATAAAAATGCTTGATCCTTATCATCAATATGGTAATTTCAATATATATATTGCTGTTTATTCAACTGCTATTAACTGTTGAAAATGGTGTTTTTCTGTGTTTCTCACTTAAATATAATGACTTTTATGTATGTTTAGAAAAATTAAAGTTAAATATTTATTTTTCTTTAATTTTTTTTCTCCTTTTTCCAAAATCTCTTGCTGAAACAATACTGTACAACTTTCCCCATAAAACTCACTATTCATTTAAGCTATCCTCTGAAATCGGCCTTTTAAAAAGTCCTCCTTTATAAGCTTTTGACAGGTAAACCAAACAAAAATCCATTACATCTGATATATCATAGCAGACCTAGAAATTGATTTTCCTTTCTGTATTTTTTGTGGATTTATACAAAACAAGGAACATTCTCTCTCCATGCTTCCTGTCTCCCGTGAACTCAATGTTTCTTTTCTATAGCAATCTCCATCTTTATTGACTTTTCGGACCAAAAGACCCATTTTCTACCGCGCTATCATCATCCCTGTACGATCTTTCGAGTAAACATGTAAAATGGAGAACATCATGATTCAGTGACAATGAGGAGGTTTTGGGGAATTTTTCTGTGCTGTTTTGGTGTATGCAGTGTATGTAGAGAATGCTTTGCTGGAAACTGTCCCCAGGACTGGATAGAATTCTGTAACAGGACGACACATATCGGATGTTACTGGGTTGAATTACAAAATGTCAGCTATCTTGTTTCTTACAGCATCTGTTCTGGTGCTAAATATGAATCTTCTCTTGTAATGCCCACTGATCCACTGGAACGAGATTTCGTTATCAACTTGGCAATGTTTCAAGATTTCTGGTTGGGTGCAGGACAGGACCCCACAACATGTTACGTAGGTAATGGGGTCAGTCCATCACCTGTTGTTAAAAGTTGTAATGATGGCAGTTATACAGTATGCACGATGTCTGTGCGTCTTACTAGCATAACAGGCTGTTCCATCTTGACAACTGAATCTGCTTTCCCCACAACAGTAATTACAACAAAAATTGAAACTGAGGCTTCATCAACAACAAAGATTGAAACTAATGCCTTATCAACAACAAACAGTCAAACTGAAGCCTTATTGACAACAGGAAGTGAAACTGAAGCCTTAACCACAGCAAGTGACCAACTGACCACAGCTTCTTCAGATTCGTACAGGAATTTATCTTTGGACAATGGAGAAACTCAGTGTCCATGTGTAGAAGTCTGTTACACAAACTACGAAACATATGAAATTGATATCAAAGTAAAGAACATTAAGCAAAATCTAACTGTTGATGTATCCACCCTCTCTGCGACAGTACGAAAACTGACGTGTGCTGAGGACCCTCGACCATCCTCTGCTTATATTGGCTACACAGGGGGGATAATCATGTCTATGTTCTTACTAATGATCATCGCTCTTGATTGCTTTCCTAAAGCACACCGTAAACTTCCTAAAGTACCGTAACACTCATAAACTTTAAGATAAATTGTGAAATTTGACATTTTATTGTGAATATAGGTAAATAATTAATTGTCTTTGATATTCTAAGAAGACCACCAACATTTCTCAGTGGACTTTCTAAAGAAATGGGGAAAATTGCTCAGATCTGTGATTACTGTGCTAGCTTTGTGTTCGTCATCGTTTTTCTTTTTAATCGTTGAAAATTTTTCCATAGATATTGGAATTCTTCGATTTTCATGCTGTGATTTCATGATTTCCTGCTTACATAATTGATCATTATTCAAGGAATCAATAGATAAAAATAATTTATTGCAGAGGAGATACAAATCAGCTGCCCATTGGCTACAAAGCTCACCTTGTGGAAGTGTTATGAAGCATTCATTTTATGCTTAGTTTTGAAAATGCTCACAATCGCTCAGCTTAGTAACAATGCTTTAATTTTCACATTTCTTAGAGGAAATAGGGTACTACATGTATGTTCAAATAGTGTACTATGTGTGATGACTTGGTATGCTGCGATTCTTTTTTTTTATTTAAAGAGTTGTAGGCACAAGTCTCTGACTATGGCTTTAAATTACACTAATAGTAGTCAAAGAGTTGCATTTAGACTTTTTTTGGGGGGAGGGGGGTTATGATTTTTGTATCTTGACATTTCCTAAACTCATGTCAATTTTTTTTTTTAAATCAAACCACTGTGACATTAATAAGAAAAAGGACTAGGATTTGCATTTTAAAAGAAATCAACAGATTATTCTATTTCATAACTATTTATCTCAAAGCACTGACCAAATTCTCTTGAAATCAAAATGGTAAGAGTAGTAAAATTTTGACAGAATTTAAAAATATCTTAATTTGTAGACAGACAACATATAAACAGCTATTCTACAAACTCAAAAATCTAAAAACAGAATTATACATTTCGATGTCTTCCTGTATATAATACTTATATTTTTTACAAGACCAACACTGTTAATTTACATATGGCACTTTGAAATAATGCAACCAATCATTCTGTATTCTTGCATCCATCTTCAAAACCAAGAAGCCAGTGAACTTAATAACATATAGTACAATGTTCAGCTGTATCTTTATTTCGACAAAGTGTACCAAGTTCTGTTAAAATCAATTATGAAATCTGAAGAAAGAGCATCATTTTACAGGGGGAAATGACAGGATTTCTATTGTTAGTTGCCATGGCAATGTCATTTATCCAAATAAAAAAAATCTTCAAATAAAGTAAATGTAGTCTTATATTATTTACAAAATTTTTTTTCATATACCGGTACAGAGAAAAATATTTGGAGGATAAACTTTCTGAAAAATGGTTAACAAACAAAGAGATCGGCAGACAACATTCACTTTTACCTCTCCATAAGCTTTTCTTTTGATACCCAGTAATGGTGAAACTTTTCTCAAATTTTTGTCTGAATAGCATTGAAAATGAAATTGAAAATGATATGGAACATCATGTATGCTCTGTTATAGGCAAATTTGTTGATACCTCATGCATGTATTTATTTCCTTTGACCTTCAAAATGTAATGTTACACAAACTGAGACTACATTCTACTCATCTTGCGCGTTTTACGTACCTGCCATATTCCTGTGTTGGTAGCGATGTCTCTTTGCCTTACACAGCCTAATCCCGTCAATGATTGAGGCGTGGTTAAGTTCGTCCGATATCACGGCATCCTCTGCTCCTAATAGAACCTCGAACAGGCCTGCATTCGCATCAAAGCAGCTGGCGTACAAAATGGAATCTTCCTTTCCGTGGAACTTGGCAATCTTCTCCTCCAATTCTTTATGCAGATCCTGAAATCATGAAAAAATACAAAAGTAAAATCACAGATACTTGACTGAATAATATTAAATATCTTTATAAAAATGATAATTTTAAAAAAGCTGTAACATTACACACATATAATGCCCTTTTAAATGAACTTGACTTTTGACTGGTTGACTCTTAGGTCTCTATTTTTCTTTATTTTGTTTCAGATAAATTTATATATATTAAATGTACTTATATGTAGCACATTTAAAGCAACATTTTTACAAATGACAAAAAAAAATTTACAATGGTGCCACAGATAAATCGGACGGAACTCAGGCCTGCTCCATGTGTATCTAAAGCTTTCTTCCCAGCCTCTATCACTTCAGGGTGGCTCTAAAAATAGAATTATTATGGATAATATCAAATCTTATTATTCAATTTTACTAATAACTCTGGTAACCTAAAACAGGTAACAATAAAATAAGATCAAAATCTCAGGAAAACATTAAAAAAAACTAACTGAAAGTCCCAGGTAATTGTTAGCACAAAAGTTAAGGATATCTTTGGAGGTTCCTTTCACATGAATACTTGGTCCCTGTTTGGAGGTGATGATTCTCTCCCCTTTCCAGGTCCCAGCCTCCTTAATTCCCTCCAGTTCTTTCTCTAGGTCTGTTCTGACCTGGGCTAAGGAAGCCGTGCCCGCCCACCCCTGCAGAAATACTGTCCTCCAGACTGAAATAATAAGTACACATTATTATATCTATTTAGCACTGATATTTTTCAAAGTTTTCAAATCTCATGACTTTACACACTGTAAACTCTTAGTTATGTTCCTTTGCATAATCAAGTGATTTAGACTGGGGAGAGCTTCATATTCTTATTAATTTGTATAAGATATTGTCAAAATTAGAAAATTGCAAAAAGGGGGCAGTTATTCTGGTGTTCTCTTTAATATTTAATGTCTATTTAACTTCAAAAAATCGAAAGTAAAATTAATACAAAAAAATTTAAATAATAATTGCCCTGAGGTAGGAATAAGTAAATATATGCCTCTTACAAAACACAATGTTGATGTTTTGCTTTGTTTTTTTTTTCTTTAACAAACTACTTCAAACAGCATTTTTTTTTTAATTGAAATTTTTTTTTTTTTTTTATTGAATTATTTTAAAATTTGATGAAAACTTGGTTTTAGTAATTTAACATATGCAATACCCCTACCCTTGGACATGTTGGAATTTTCAAATTTTTACCACATATTTCGAAAATTTATGCTTAACCCTTGTAAATCAAACATCATAATACAAAAAAAAAATAAAATTCTTGCTTATTTCAATAAAAATTAAATCTAATCACGTCAAAGTATTAACTTCCCTATAGCTGGCATAATGTTTATAAATGATACCATATTTTCTAACATTTGTCTTTGGATGCCCTGTTGTGTCCTCACTCCTGTACAGAATTATGTCAGATTTCTTATTTACAACAAGCTTTCCAAATACTGGTCTGTATAATAGGCCTAATGTCAACATATATCATAGAAATTTACCTGAAACTATCTTTACATGCCAAAACACATGCAATCTGCAGTTGTACATGTATCTTTGAAGAGCTATTTGTGGTTTACCTGAGGATTGACAGCCGACCACCATCAACTGAATCTATTGCCAGATTTATACATATGTAAATTTAAAAGACAATTAACTTATCTACACGTCAGTAAATGAAAATGACACACAACAAGTACAACACACTTCGAGGAAATTCGACCTGCAATATGTTTCATGTCTTTGGATTTTCCTCCTCAAGAACAGTCAACACTTCGATTTTAACTGAAATATGGGGGAATATTGGAAAGTTCTTTACATATAAATGCGCTGATTGTCTATATTTATTTGTCAAAAGAGTTTTACCTTTCAATAGTTGATTTGTTTTCATGCTCACGGCTTCGTCAGAGGTGTGTGCTTGCGTAACCAATCAGAGGCCGACGAAAAAAGCGAGATAACTCTTTGCTAATTTCCAGTAGGGGATATCATAGGTTTAGCTAAGTTTTTGTAAAAGTAAAACTATTCTTAAATTTTTTTTTCAAACCCGAAATTCCTACAATGTAAACATTAAATGAATTCTTTGACAACTTTCAGTATTGTCCATATCAAAGATCATTATGCTTTCTGTTCATTTAATTGTTATTCTTAATTTTTTTTTTAAACTTACCCCATGTGGGAGCTTTAATAAAAAAAAGTTTCAAAAGTTTCATCCTCGCAAGCTAGGGGTTCTGAGTCAACACGTTGCCGTTATGAGTCTTGACTCAGGACCCATGACTTGCGAGGATGCAAATACTGGCCAGGTTATGAATTACCTATTTTAATATTTATATAATATAAAATGAAACAAAATTATTTTTCTTCTTCCAATATACTAGTCAAGTGTATTCTATACCATGCACAATTAAATACATCATTATGACACCACTACTTATATTTTGATTTTTACCACAAGCTAGAATAAGTAGGTGTTGCCCTGTTTCCAAAATCAACTGTCTGTGGTTCCCACCCATGATCCTCATACTAAAAGAAAGAGTCCTAGAACTGACTTAGATTAGCAGCTTTTAAAAATTGACCAAAAACCATCAAGTACTTATTATTGTCTCACGCTTTTGCGAAAGCGAGGAGATATATTAAATCTCATTCGTCTGTCCCTCCGTCAGTCTGTCAGTCGGTCTGTCTGTCACAAAAAATTACTTGACCAGTCCACAGAGGCTTTACTAAAGTATTTAAAAAATCATATTCGGTAATAATAAAAGAACATGTGTTGTTTTATTATTACCGTGTGAATTTTTCAATAAATAATTATTACACGCCGGGAGCAAGCCCCTGTGACCAGTCATAACTTTTGATTAAGAAGAGAGGGTTTTCACATTACCATGGTATATTACCTAGCTGTTGTAAGACCTTTGTAAATATATTATTATATTTAACCTTTGACCTTGACCTTCAACTTTAACCTACTTTTCAACATTGAAAATACCTTTACTTAAACGTGAAATAGAAACACCCTTGTTACAGAAAAGTCACAAGAGAATAGATCAGGAAAAATTTCAACATTACTTTATATTTGTATTGATTGAAAGAAGAGGACATGATTTGATATTGATTGAAAGAAGAGGACTTTATTGGCAATCATTGCCAATAAAAAAACGATTGGGCTTTTTTTCATTGAAATTGACAGTTTAAAATACTACACTCGATATTGCCCGTGACAAGATCGTTCAAAATACATAATGGTTTTTGACCCTGTGAACCAGGCCTTGAAGTTTGATCTACTTTTCAAAAAAACATCAACCTTGGTCATAACTTTTGATAGAGAAGATATGGGGCTTTCATACATATTGCACCTGTGTTTTAACTGTCTCAAGACCTTTCTAAATATACTAAGATTTTTTTACCCCCCTGACCTTGACCTTATTCACCTTAAAGTTTGACCTAATTTTCGAAAATGTTATCTCTCCCGTCCTTATTGATATATTTATTAAGTTTTGATAGAGAAGAGATAGGATTTTCATATTTCACATGTGTATTTTCCGTGCATGCTATAATTTTTAACCCTTGACCTTCATGTTTGCCCTGATTTTCAAAAACTCAACGCAACTCATCCTTTACCAGTGAATAAAATTTTATATTTTCACAGATTCTTTATTTCATAATGTCATTGTGCATCTCGATCTGTTTTACTTTTTGTTCTGACACTTATTTCGGGTCTCCCAGTGCAAAACATGGACTTCGCCTTTAAACATGTAACCATATGGGAGGCGGGGTATCATTTTGTGATTTCTTGCTCTCAGTATCTTTACTTTTTGTTTGGTTTTCCCTCTCCAGCACTTTCTAGGGGGTATGAATTTATTTTATTTTATTTTTTTATTTTTTTTGAAAATGACATAGGGGAAGTGACAGATAGAAAAAGTTTATTACCTAAAAAAAAAAAGAAGAAGAAAACCGTTGGAATTTTGTATATTGTGCACAACAAAATTTGGAGTGAGGGCAAGCATTTTCCAATACAGTCAAAAAGGTTACATTTAGAAAAAATAATCATCCCTGGTTCTGATGCAACGTGCTTGCTTGTGACACGACCTTCTTTAGGTTTAACAATATTGTAGTTGATCTATCGACCTTGGAGTTTGACCCACTTTTGCAAAATTTTACCGAACTTTAACATTATTCATAACTTTTGAACAGTTTGTGCCAGGGCCTTCATTCTTCAATGTGTATTTCCTTTGGTATACATGGAAATATTTTGGACCTTGACCCTGTAATTTGATCAACATTTAAAAAAACGTTAACCTTGACATTAACCTTTGAACAATAAAAACTAGGACTTTTATATTTCACAAATGCCGCCGTAATGGTGATTTTTGACGCCAAGACCGTGCGCGACGTCTGTCAGGTTAATGTTATTACCTTTACAGTTAGGACGAGTACCATGCACGGATCTAGAGGGGGAGGGGGGTCCGGACCTCCTGGAATTTGCAGAGTTATTAAATGTATATACTAAACGAAGTAAAAGTGACCTTGGAACCCCCCCCCCCCACTTAGAAAACGGAGACCCTGGTATTTGTATGAAAAGTCATTGGTATGAAGCTTTCAAAGCCCCCCCCACCACCACCACCATCACCCTCAAACCCCCCCCCCCCCCCACACACACACACACACACACCCTCACACACGAAATAGGTTTTTCACGTTTGTGGAAAGAGTTTATTTTTCTTTTTTTTTTTGCTGTCAAGAAATTTCTGGGATGCCCCCCCCCCTGGAAAAAATTCTGGATCCGCGCCTGAGTACTACATATTTGATTATCCGGGTTGTGTTTCGGTTTCTCAAATTATCATGTTGTTCACAAATGAATAGTTTTAATTTCTTGTTGAAAATAACTCAATGAAAATAAATTATGCAAGAAGAAAAGAGAAACACTGAAGCAACGTACGTCGTTCTTAATTAGCAGCTATAGATCTAGATAACAATAATTCGATTCGATTTAAAAATGTATGTCATACATGTATTGTATCTTGCAAAACTTCTTGTCTTAATTGGTCTTGGATACCTTGGTTTAAAGAACCTTTCATTTTCTTCTTTTTATTATTTTAGTAAAAGGCGGATATAGCCCCCCCCCCCCCCTCCCTGCTAAAATTTTCAAAGTTAGCGTAAATTATAGTTTCGTGAAGAAAATGTAAAAATGTTCATTTCAACCCCACAAAATCTCTAGAATTCATGCGCTTACATGTACGGGGGCTTCATTCCATGGGCCCCCACCAGGATTTTGCCCTGGACCCAATGGAGGCCGCAAGGCTCAAGACCCACTGCCTACTTTTTGCCCCCCCCCCCATAACTTCAATTTAACTTTTATTATAATGAATATTAAATGAATGTGGTTTTTAATGTACTGCGATCCTCAGCCAGGATTTTTTTTTGATTACTCTTTAATTTATTATTTAAATAAAAATGTATCAAAATGGAGCTTAAGAATTAAATCTCTTCATGCAACACTTATCATTTTTATACATCTCAATTTGCTTGAAGTTCTCAGAATGGTCTTTAAAAAGTCGAAATTTTTACCCCAGAAAAGAATCTAAAATGATTTATTTAAAGAAATTAAATTAAAATTCTATAATGTAACCATATTAACTAATGTTTATTAATATGTTGTGAAATAAGAAGTCGTTATAGGAAAATATTTATAAGCTATGCATTGTACAATGATTGAAGTAAATGGAAGAAACGAAAGTACCTTATATGTATAAAAATTGTGCAATTTCTTCTAAAGCCTGGATACCTATGATTTTTAGTTACTTCTAAAATGTGTTTAATTGTTGATCAAATTTGAATTGGAAAATGTACATGATGTATAGTAGGTGTTTTTATTCGAATTTCCTGAAAATTTGATTAATTTTCCATACACAATGTTACTAACTTCAAGGATGAAATATGAAGAATTATCGTGGGTAAAAGTTAAACTCAGGATCTGAAAATCAAGCATTTCACTGCTCTCAAAAATGTCTCTGAATTTCCAGAGTAATGGTTTGACGATCGGAGTATCTTAATTTCAATTTCAATTTATTTTTCGAGAAAAAGTTAATTGAATTTGATTTTTAAAAAAGACCCTTATTCGACCTGGGTATATGTATATTAGTGGTTTTGAATAAATTAATCTTTATTTTCTTGTGTTGTGTTTTTTTTTCCATTTTTATATGAATATGAGTAACACCGCAAAAGAATAGCATTACTTATCTGCACTAATTTGGCACGTTTAAAACAAGACACGTGTCTAAAATATATTATATAAATGTTGATATTGAGCTAATATATTTAATTTTCACTATAGTATCTGGTACGTGGCATTTAAAGTTTAAAAAAAAGAAAAGAAAAATAGCGATGTTAATTAGTGCTTCTTTTGTAGCATAGGTAGTTGTTAACTTTATTTCATTTGCTCTTAACTCAAAACCTAAATGAAAAACATATACTTATATAATATCATATATTGTGAAGTGGTTTAACTACTGGTAATCGATATCAATAATATAACTTTATCAGTAATGTTTTACATTGCGGCGATGATAACACCCGAGGATTTCCACACGTGCGGTCAAGGTCGCTAGAGTACGGTATTGTTGATGGTATTACTATGCTAAAGAAAAGTGGATACATTCCGAAAAAGATGAACAATGTTTAGGTAATATTCATAGATTATAATTTAATGAACGATATAATTGTCAAATGACTGCACATTATTCTGCCCCTTTCGCTCTTCGCTGCAAAAGTCACGAGATCTGAACTGACCAGTGCACTGGCTAACATGGCCTCTTCGTTTTGGTCGGCCAGGTATATGAACATGGCCGATGGAAACACACAGTTGACAGTTTGTTTTTCACAACTATGTCAATATTCAATAATTTACATTTCTACTGTTTAACATCTTATCTATTTCGGATTTTTTTTTGTTATATAACCAGAAAATCTATTTAATTACGTAAAGATTGAGTAATGTGACAATATTTCGTTAACTCCTTCAGCAGCGTTCAGCTGTGTTAGTGTAGTGTAAACATAGAGGAATACCGGATCTGTAATAGTAACATGAATGCTAAGCGTGATTTTCAGGACAACATCAGTACCTGTTCTTCAGGTATGATTTTATAAATACTTCCTCACTCCCAGCTGTCACAGTGGGGGAAGGCACTGGAGTTAGTCTACTTCTTACATATATAGTCATGTATCTACTATCTGTTCTACATTGTGAAATATTTTATGAATTAAGCAGAAATGTACCAGATACATAAAAAATATTTTAAGGTTGTTTGGTTATTTATGTCTCTGATTGTACACTGCAAGATTGCATTTGCAAAGACTTTTTGATGTTCCTAGATTTTATTCAAAAGGTGCTTCATTAGGCCTATTAAATGGGAGAATTTTCTAGAAAGCCACATAAAAGGTTTCTGATATTATACAGCTTAGTTGTTACGTAGTGTCTTGTAGTCCGAAATATCTGACGTTTCCAGGCTTTTTAACGATTTTGATATTTTATGTGCCAGGAAAACGTCAGAACCGGCGCCATTACGAAAACTGGAAATTTCACTGTCTCCAACTGGAGTTCATTTTTAATACTTGCGAACCGAACTAAATGCGGAAATCAGAATTAATCAAAAGCACAATACCTCTAGTACTCACCAATATCCATGGAAAGAAAATATCACTCCACATTTAGTTACAGGACTTGCAAGCTTTAAAAGGGAAAGAAATGAAGACAGATCTTGAAAGTGTGATAAAAATCTTTTCAACGGATTGTATATATTATAAATGAATCGTAAAAACAATATTGTTAAGTACTGTACTATTGAAAAGTTTTGACTTTGAAATTTAATTTGGCTTGCAAGCATTTAAAATCAACTCGAGAATGCCGCCTCCGGTTGGCGCCGGTTCTGACGTTTTCCTGGCACGTAAAATATCAAAATCGTAAAAAAGCCTGGAAAACGTCAGATAGTTCGGACTAAGTGTTTTGTTGTTTGCTTTCAGTTTTAATTTGCTTAATTTCAGCCTAAAGTATCGTAAATAATCTTTGAATAACTCTTTTTTTGTCTAAATTCAACTTTCTGATGATATTAATTTTCCAGGAATGGACTGCAAACACCATAACTAAAAATTTTACCTCAAAACATTATTGCATTTGGATGATGAAACTATCACTCATTGCTACTAATAAGCATGATAAGACTAATATACAGGTGACTCTCAATCTCTCGAAGTTCAAGGGACCGCGAGAAAAGTTCGAGAGATGGAGGGGTCTCCGGAATTTTCAGTTCCGATCATCGAAGTTCTACTTTTACAGATACCGGAAGTATATGTTAATAATGTCATATTGCACGTCTTCAATCGTATTTTACAGGTGATTTACTTGATTTCAACAACAATGATTGTATTTCAAATAAATAAAACGAATTCCTAAAGATTCAATATTTATTTGTTCCTATTTCATGATTACATGAAACCCGAATAGCAATTGTAGGTTTGGCTATTCCGCGGCTTGATCGGGTCCTTCACCAGTGTTCACCAGATTTTTCTTAATCGGTATTCTGTCCTTGAGAAAAGAATTTCTTGTGTAATATTTCCCATACTGGGATTATGTAGACTCTATATAATCAAAATGAAAGTTCATAGTCTATGAGAACTTACTAAAACGAACATCTATAAATTAATTTAAAAATAATTATCGTCTCGGTTTCAATTCAAAATAAGTTGTGAATTTGTTTTTAATTTACCCCGTGAATAATAACCAATTACAACACACACAACCCACAGGTGTAGTGTCATCTATGTAAACACCCAATTAACACCTCCATGCCAGCCCAAGGCCTTCACGGTTTCCAGGTAAGTCCAGTCTGCATCAATTTTACGCTTGATTGGCGTGTATACACGCGCAATCAACTTCGAGAGATAGAGAGTAAAATTCAATGAAATATGCGTAACGGGACCCAGGTTTTGGTTCGAGAGATAGAGAACTTCGAGAGATGGAAGTTCGAGAGATCAGGAGTAAATTTGCTTAGTTATATAGAGGGAAAAAACGGGACAGACACACACACAGAGATGACTTCAGAGATCGTGTCAGCCATTGAGAGTCACCTGTATAACATATATTATTCTTTATAATAACATCATCTCCTATATTTGTTCTAGACCTTTGACCTCAGAGTCAAATATGACCTAGACTTTTGACCTCAGAGTCAATTTAAATTTCTAGTTTATGCTGAAGGATTTTAAAGCTTATAAACTTCTTATATGTTGACTTAGATATAATTTTAGGTCTGTGAGTTTATCAGAAGATGATGACTCGTAAGACATTCCCACACATTGACAGAAGCTTCAGTTCAGGACTTAGGGTTCTGTTGTATCTGTTAGTCATCCCCCCCCCCCCACACACACACACACACATTATCCAGAAGCTAACCAGAGGCTTCAGCTAAGGACTTAGGGTTCTGTTGTATCTGTTAGACATCCCCCCACATTAACCAGAAGTGTCAGTTCAGGACTTAGGGCTCTATTGTACCTGTCACAGAATCATCAGGTCGAGGAAACTATTTTTTGTGACGTCTGTTCAGCGAGGAACCATCAAGACTGACAAATCGACCAATCAGCTCAATGAGTTGTATTTAATGCATTTATGGGTTACTACACTCTCAGTACATAAATACTTCATGTGTTTTTCGAACAGGCTAGCTTTTTTTTTAAATAGCTCGCAGAAAGACGTGGTACATTTCCCAAGCATTTACACGCTAAATGCATTATGTACATTATCATCTACAAATCCCATGCTAACATTTGCAATATACAAATGAACAATGATAAAAATAGGAGTTTCCCCATTCTATTGTACAGGTCCGTTTGTTTACAATTTCCCCGTGCTCTACTGACAGTGAAAAGACAATTTCACGTGACTATATATTCCTCGGTACAAAAAGCAACTAACTCTGAGGTGTGCTCACGTATTGACAATGTTTACAATGTGTACAACTTCGAAACATATAGGTCAGTATGCTAACATGAAAAACTGCATTTGTTTGTTTATGTGAGCATGGGAATTCTCAATTAGTAACTATTCTACCTATTTTTCTAAAACAGGTTTTTTAAGAAATGTAAATTGGCTTTCCAGCCGTCAATTGAACTCGCACCGTACAATTCCCTAACCCACGTGTTTGTAGTGAAAACGTAGTAGACCATCATGCTTTTCGGTTCATTCACGAGATTGGACCATTGTTTGCTGTGAGCATGCGAGACCACGTGTTCATGAATATTTCAATAAGAGGCGGTTTAATATCCGATTCGGAGAGAAAATAATTTTTACAAAATAATATTTCATAACTTTTGAAAGTGATGGAGTGGAATTGTCTTAATTGCAGAAATTACATAACTTATGTAACTTGATGAGACACCACATATATTTATTTCTTTAACAATAAAACACTAATACGGCATATATATCTTTAACATAATATATGGTGATTTTTAATGTAGAGGACTTTCATGGTGTTAAACATGTCTAGTTGCATCTAAAAAGTCAGAAATGTTGAAGGAAAATCGCGAGGAAATAGGAAAAGAATTCTGTTTTATTTAACCTCATCTTCCTCATGTAGTTGATTTTAACTATCGATGTTGCCGATCGCATCAGCGTTGCCAATCGTGCGTTGACAGGAGTGATAACATAAATGCAAAACTACATGAGCTAGTCCATTGTATAGATACCATATTGACTAGGGATTACTCTGTTCACCTCATCAATACAAAGGGCTCACTAGGGGTGAAACGATATGCCTCGTTCATAGGGCTGAAACGAAACGCCCCCTCCACGATACGATACGTATTGCAATAGTTGTGTCACAATTCAATTTTTTCAAAACGATACAATTTAAGAATGAAACTATTCATAAGGTTCAAGAAAACGTATTCAGATTTCAAAAAAAAAAAGAGTAAAAGGAGGTGATACAATAGAAATATACTACCAGGGGTATGCAATTTAAAAATTCAAGTTCTACCCCGCGGGCTAGTGGCAGCAATAAAGTTACCAGCCCCAAGTAAACAGTTACTAGCCCAAATATAGGGACAAAAATTTAAATAAAACTAATGTTGAAAAAAAATTAATCATTGAAAAAGTCAGGGTACTAAGGTCATTCTTTTGAAAATTAAAATTTTATTCTCACTATTAAAATTAAATCATATAAAATTAATGATTATGACAGAAAATAAAAATGAATTTAAAAAAATTATCTGAAGATCTTTGCTTTTCTGATTATTTTGCACTAGCTCAGTTAGAATGAAAATAAATTCATTTTGTTTTCATATTAAATCCTTAAATACACTAGAAATATATTTCATGTGAATCACACTGATCTTTCAGTTGATTGAGTGATCGTAAATAATTTAATGAGATATCTGCATATATTTATAATAAACGGAGGAATGGAGGAAATTCGGATTAGGAAAAAAACGATCGTTTTTGGAAGTAAATAAGTCCGGAGGTACTGCAAAATGGAGAAAATTATGGAGATTTATTGACAGTAGGAGCATGCTGCTTGGAAAAATATTCACTGATTGGGAATTTGATAACAAAAAATGAGTAAAATACCGGTTGCACTTTTCATGTATTACATGCGTAGTTATAATTCTTACTAGCCCGAATTTACTAAT